AGCGAGATGAGCACCGCAACCCCACAGTCATCAGTGACTGGACCTAACGTTCAGGGGTCCAGGGATTTTAACAATCCAATAAAAGCCACATTAAAAACATTTGAAATTATAATATCCAAATTTTATGCCAAATTATAAGTCTTTGGTTGACTTCCCATGCTCTGAGGTTCAAAGTGTTGAGCTGACTTGTATCTGCCCAGGTTGCAAGCAGTGACCTTGGAAGAACCTCAAGAGACAGATGCTTCACTCTGCTGAAGAAAGTTAAGGCAGGATTCTGACTAAGAGCTGGAGTCCTATGTGGGAAGGTGGTGGTTAAAAAGCTCGATCTCTTTGCAACGGTTACAGGGAGGAGAAAGAGAGTCATTAATTCTCATTTAGCTTAGATGAAGCAAGGTGGGTGTAGCTGAATGGAACAGAGGCTGCTGCCTCATTCATCACTACCCATTGGGCATGACAGCTGCAATAGAAGGGAGCCAGACATCATTTTTTAAATGCAACATCCCCTCTGTCCCAGAATGTAGCCTTATGGGGTAGGAGGCTACGCCTTTGCCCCTGTGGAGGTGGGGACCTTCGTAAACCCAGAAGACAGTTAACTACAGTTTAGGCTGCTGTATGAACAAAATCCTAAAGCAGGGCTGCCATACGTCCGGATTTTCCTGGACATTACCGGGAATTAAAAGGCGGAATCGACCTCCAGGGGTTAATTTCCAAAAGGCGGTGCTTTGTTCTGGATCTTAGGCAAGTCAATCACAAAATATTTGGTGCATTTTCTGTAAAAAAAAACAAAAAAAAACAGCTCAACAACTTAGGGGTTTGTCCTGGTTTTCACTCTTTGAAATATTTCAAAAATATTTCATTTGCTCGGGACGCGGGTGGCGCTGTGGGTAAAACCTCAGTGCCTAGGACTTGCCGATCGCATGGTCGGCGGTTTGAATCCCCGCGGCAGGGTGCGCTCCCGTTGTTCGGTCCCAGCGCCTGCCAACCTAGCAGTTCGAAAGCACCCCCGGGTGCAAGTAGATAAATAGGGACCGCTTACCAGCGGGAAGGTAAATGGCGTTCCATGTGCTGCGCTGGCTCTCCAGATGCAGCTTGTCACGCTGGCCACGTGACCCGGAAGTGTCTCCGGACAGCGCTGGCTCCCGGCCTATAGAGTGAGATGAGCGCACAACCCTAGAGTCTGGGGGTACCTTTACCTTTACCTATCATTTGCTCAGATATTTTCATGTAGTTCTATACAGTGCTTTTTTTCTTAAAAAAAATGTTTAGGGGTTGTTATGTATTGAAGTACTCACACTGGACACCAGGAGTATCGTGTATACTGTATAGTTTTCACTCAGGTCCACGTCAGTTACTTTAGGTGGGAAACCCTGGGTTGTTGTTGTTACAATGTTGACAGCCGACTGCCTATAAAAGCAGGCCGGCTGAGCTGTTTGCTGTTCAGTTCAGTTCCAGCTTACTATAAAGAACTACTTGGAGAGAGAAAAATGGGGGGGGGGACCCATGAACTGAAGCGTATGTAACCCGGGGTACATACGCTTCAGGTTACATACGCTTCAGGTTACAGACTCCGCTAACCCAGAAATAGTACCTCGGGTTAAGAACTTTGCTTCAGGATGAGAACAGAAATCGTGCTCCGGCAGTGCGGCGGCAGTGGGAGGCTCCATTAGCTAAAGTGGTGCTTCAGGTTAAGAACAGTTTCAGGTTAAAAACGGACCTCCGGAACGAATTAAGTACTTAACCTGAGGTACCACTGTACAGTAGTACATCTGGATGCAAACGGGATCCGTTCCTGTTCGCATCCAGAGCAGAACACAACCCGCGTCTGCGCATGCATGGGTCATGATTTACCGCTTCTGCGCATGCGCGTGACATCATTTTGAGCATCTGCGAAACCCGGAAGTAACGCATTCCATTACTTCCAGATCGCCACGGAGCGCAACCCGAAAACGCTCAACCTGAAGCAACTTCAACCCGAGGTATGACTATATACACATGGCTTTTCAGGCTGCATGATGTGGTCTGTTTGGTCTTCCTCGTTTATGTATAGGAAGCAAGAATCTCACATGCATAAAACTCTTCGAGGGATGGAGGCCTTTCGAAAGCAGCAAATGCTTCCAAAGCAATTCTACGTCAAGGTACAGACCAAAAGCACCGCTTGAAATCACTGCGCACCATCTGTTGGCTTTTACCAATGCCGCCTCGCCAAAGGCTAGTTGAAAATCTTCAGTCCCATTTTGTGAGAATGTTTGCCAGCACTTTTCGACGTGGAACTCTGCTGGCCCCTTTTGGCCTTTGGCTTGAATATGCTCTACTGCGGTTCAAGTAGAATGACACTGTGCTGGAGCCGTATTATGAATTCTGAGCAGTATTATTTTTTTGAAATCATTTTTATTTGACTTTACAAATACAAATTTATAATAATCCAAATGTTTATCCATATATAGGGATTTCTCTGAATCTCAAGGCTTCCCCCCATCCCCTCCATGGGGTCCTATTCTCAACATTTATAACTGCATATTATTTCAGAATCTATATTTTGTATCCAACTATATTTTCCATGCTATTTTTTACATTGCAAGTGAAATTAAAATCCTCCTAATGTTTTCATCTGCTTGCAGTGGTCTCTTAAATAAATCAAAAAAATTCCCCACTCTTTTTAAAAGTTTTTGTCTTCTTGGCTCCTGAGCTTTCTGATCAGTTTTGCCATTTCGGTGTAGTCTAACAGCTTGGTTTGCCATTCCTCTCTGGTAGGGGACTCTTTCTTCTTTCCATCTCTAGGCTACTAGCATCCAAGCAGCTGTTGTCACATACATAAAAAGAATTTTCTGCTCCTTTTGAATGTCTGTACCTATGATTCCTAACAGAAAAGCTTCTGGCTTTTTAACAAAAGTTATTTTAAACATTTTTTTTTCCAGTTCATTGTATATCATCTCCCAGAAATCTTTTATTACCTTTTATTACACGACCACCAAATATGATAAAAGGTACCTTCTTTTTTACATTTCCAGCAGGTATTTGTACTTGTTCTATACATTTTTGCTAACTTACTAGGAGTCAAGTACCGCCGGTACATCATTTTCATATAGTTTGATTTCAGTGTAAACCATGTCGTGAATTTCAGGTCTGTTTCCCAAAATCCATCCCAATCTGCCATCTGAATATTATGTCCCAAGTCCTTTGCCCAGTGTAATGTTACAGATTTAACCTGCTCATCTTTTGTATGCCATTCCAAGAGCAAACTGTACATTTTCGACAATAATTTAATATTATTTTCTAAGAGGTCTTTTTGAAATCTTGATATCTCACAACTAAAACCTTTCTTTTTATCTGTCTTAAAAGTATCATCTAGTTGGTGAAACTGTAACCAATCCATTAATAATAATAAATCCCTTATCTCCTCATAATCTTTGGGTTTCACCTGGTGTTCTACTTTGGTAAACAGCTCTCTGTATAATGGCCAAATGAAATTCACACATTTTTAAGAAGCCTCGCTGTAGCTGCTGTTTAGCATCTTGCACTGTGTTCTCCCCACAAAGGGCAAAAGGAAAACCCACTCAGGCTGCAGTCCTAGGCAGGAACATGGCTACTTGGAAACTTGCTCTCAGGCCAAAGATGCATGAGGGATCACCACACTGGCAAATGCTAAGAATCACCATACAGTGGTACCTCTTTAGCTAATGGGACCTCCCGCTGCTGCCGTGCCGCCAGAGCCAGATTTCTGTTCTTATCCTGAAGCAAAGTTCTTAACCTGAAGCACTATTTCTAGGTTAGCGGAGTGTGTAACCTGAAGCGTATGTAACCTGAGGTACCACTGTATTCCCAAAACTGAAAATCTGGACAAAGTTGTTGAGCTCAATATAAGAATTAGAGACTGCAGGTGTATATTTTTATTATTTTAATAATGTTTAAATGTTTCTCTTTACTTGTATTTAACTTACTAGAATGGATTAGGCTTGATTGCTGTGTGTTCTGCATTTGAGAATCTGCCTCTCCCACACTGCATTTCCTCACTCCTTATCTACCCCTGAAAGTGGTCCAAATGGCAGGATGTTTTAGCACCAGAGTGCAAATTGGCTACCCTTAAAGCGATCCGAGACCCAGGAAGAGGATTTTATGATGCTCTTCCCTCGCTGAAGGCTACCGGTAGGTTGCCAGGGTAACGCCAGACATTTGAGACCTAAAATGGTCAAATCCACGGAGCCAAGCATGTTTTGCTTCTCATGAACTGGCCATGTTGTACGGATGCCTGATGATCGTCTTCCAAAACAACTACTCTATTCCAAACTTAAAAAGGGAAAGCGTAATGCTGGTGGTCAACAAAAGAGGTTCAAAGACTCTCTCAAGGCAAATCTTTTTTTAAAAAATAGTATAAACACTGAGAACTGGGAAACACTGGCCTGCAAGCGCTCCAGTTGGAGAATAGCCTTGACCAAAGGTGTCATGGGCTTTGAAGATGCTCAAACTCAGGACGAAAGGGAGAAACATGCTAAGAGGAAGGCACGCTTGGCAAACCCTTACCGTGATCAACTCTCGTCCGGAAACCTATATCCCCATTGTGGAAGGACGTGTGGATCCAGAATTGGCCTCCACGGTCAGAGGGCCTTCTCACTAGTGGCACCCGCCCTGTGGAATGCCCTCCTACGAGATGTCAAGGAAATAAACAGCTATCAGACTTTTAGAAGACATCTGAAAGCAGCCCTGTTTAGGGAAGTTTTTAATGTTTGATGTTTTATCGTGTTTTTAATATTCTGTTGGGAGCGGCCCAGAGTGGCTGGGGAAACCCTGCCAGATGGGCGGGGTATAAGTAATAAATTATTATTATTACTGCTATTAGCCCCTAAAGTTTGCTGATCCCAGCAAATAAGAGACTCCACAGTCCAAGCTGGTCTGGGACTCTAGCAATGGAAGTGAAACCAACCACCATTCTGTTGCCTGGTAGTGTTTAGCAGAGTTTGCCCCAGCACCTGCAACAACCCTAGAAATCAAACAAGCTGAAGAGGTTTCCCTTTTTAGAAAAGTCTTTATTGACATCATCGTTTATTTACATCGTTGTTTATGAGTCACCTTTTTGTCCAAAAAGGACATCCCAAGGAACTTACAGTTTAAGAACTTTTAACTTAGAAGCACCGCTGCCTTTAAAAAAAGAAAAATAAATTCAGTCCATTAAGTGTTCTAAACCCAGGGACACTGGAAGATGTCACTAACCCGATCACAGCCAGAGCTTGACACCAAACCCATCTTTCGAACATCACCCTAACCCACCATCTGTGGTCAGAAATTATATAAAGCCCCTCTCTGCCAACTATTTCCCAAAACTGTTACAGGCGTTTACATACAAAGAACGTAAAACACCGACCAAGAAAATTGACAAATTGAGGCAGCTCATGACAAAGTCTTGCTCACTGGAATAATCCTTCTCACCCTTGGGGGAGAGTTGTGCTCTTGCTTGCAAAAACAGCAGTCTAAAGCAATTGGGAAACGTATTTAATTTTTCTCCTTTCTTCCCACAAAAGGTATGTTTCTTGCATACCATATTAGCGTATTTCCTTTTGCGCCAATGCTTTGCAGTTCAGTGAAAGCTGAACTCCAGGTCAGCTTTCCCCTTTCACAGCACCACCAGCCCCATCTTTTCTGCCATGCACTAGACGCTCTCGGAAAAGGAGGGGAGATTTCGGCTCCTGGTCCTCCCAGGCAACCCCACTGAGATTCAGAGTCCCAACAAGATTCGTCGGTGGTCAGGGAGTGAGCTTGAAAGGTAGCAGCTGGGGGTGGGTCATCTAAAGTTCAGAAGACAACAGAACACCGTACGCTGGTTCTAAGGAACTTCACCACACTGTCTCTGTATCCGTGGGTCTGGCAAGCAGGCAGCATAGCCCAGACCTTCACGAGGGCAAAACCCTTTCTGCTTCCATGGGTCGGGATGGGGTTGCAGAGATAGGTATAAAGTGCTGGTGGATAAAAACAAGAGCAAGAAGTGTTATGCAATGAGACACGCATGGGCTAACCAGGAAAAAAAATATGTTTCTCTGCACATTTGACCCAGAACAGACTGGAGGAGGGTAGCCTACTTTTAAACGCTACATCTCAAGTAAAACTTAAGAGTTTAGGCTCTCAACCTGAGCTCAGGATCCAAAGGAGAATGAAAAGTCACAGAGCTCTGACCCACAACACCAGCTCCAGCTCCATTTAAATTTTTTATTATTATTAATTCAACTTATACAACTAAACCCAGAGGTCTCAGGACGGTTCACAACAAGACCACAACATATAAAATCAAACCATAAACAGTAACTCAATAACACACACACCCCAAAAGCCACATTCTTAAAGGGTGTTGGATGTCAATATGATCAACCAAAGGCCTGGTTAAAAAGAAACGTTTTTGCCTGGTGCCTAAAGGTGTGTAATGAAGGCGCCAGGCGAACTTCCCTGGGGAGAGCATTCCATAGACGGGGAGCCACTGCAGAGAAGGCCCGTTCTAATGTTGCCACCCTCCGGATCTCTAAAGGAGGCGGCACACGAAGGAGGGCCTCAGAAGATGATCTCAGGATCCAGGTAGGTTCATATGGAAAGAGGTGGTCCTTGAGGTATTGATGCCCCTGAGCCGTTTAAGGCTTTATAGGTCAAAACCAGCACTTGGAAGTTCTAGTGGATTACTGGCATGATGGGGCTAATTCTAAATTCATGCCATGAGCTCCTCTAAAAAATATATGCATCAGTGCATTGATTTTGCGTTGCCACAGAGCAGCTTTGGCCAGGCCTTTCCCACGCCAAGAGGTGGTTTGGAATTAAATGTGCCATGCATACAAACGTGCTTTGAAGAGAACATGTTTCTGTCAAAGGGAAGTTATTGGTAGGTGTCTGCATCTGACCAGAAACAGGTTCTTCAAATTGCGCAACTGTATATGTGGCATGCAGCACATACACACACCCAACAGCACATTCGCACCCAAGGCATGGACTACGTGAGCACCAAGGGGGAATGTGTTGAAAAAGCTCCTCAAAGGCTGCTGCTCTTTGGAAAAGAAATGGAAAAGAGTTGGTCACAACCCACCACTGAATTAATAGGCATGAGTTCACATCACAGAGACTTGTTAAATGCTGTCCTCTCACCAACCTCATGGGCGAAAAGACAGGTGCAGACATCTCTGCACTACCAATTCCCTGCAAAAGACGTCAGGTGAAGCAGCTAGAAATACAGCCTCTTAAAAGGTAAAGGGACCCCTGACCATTAGGTCCAGTCGTGGCCGACTCTGGGGTTGCGGCGCTCATCTCACTTTATTGGCCGAGGGAGCCGGCGTACAGCTTCCGGGTCATGTGGCCAGCATGACTAAGCCGCTTCTGGCTAACCAGAGCAGCGCACAGAAACGCCGTTTACCTTCCCGCCGGAGCGGTACCTATTGATCTACTTGCACTTTGACGTGCTTTTGAACTGCTAGGTTGGCAGGAGCTGGGACCTAGGCTCTGTGGTTTAAACCACAGCGCCACCTGTGTCCCGCTTACAGCCTCTTACGTGTGAATAAAAGAATGGCAAGGAGTCACCATTCATAATAAATAATAATAATTTATAATTTTTTACTATTTATGCTGGGACACGGGTGGTGCTGTGGTGTAAACCACTGAGCCTTGGGCTTGCCGATCGGAAGGTCGGTGGTTCGAATCCCCGCAACGGGGTGAGCTCCCATTGCTCGGTCCCAGCTCCTGCCAACCTAGCAGTTCAAAAGCACGTCAAAGTGCAAGTAGATAAATAGGTACTGCTCCAGCAGGAAGGTAAACGGTGTTTCCGTGCGCTGCTCTGATTCGCCAGAAGCAGCTTAGTCATGCTGGCCACATGATCCGGCAAATCTGTCTGTGGACAAACGCTGGCTCCCTCGGCCAGTAAAGCGAGATGAGCGCAACAATCCCAGAACCGTTCGCGACTGAACTTGTCAGGGATCCTTTACCTTTTTTCCTTTATTTATACCCCACCCATCTGGCTAGGTTTCCCATCCAGGCTTTGGAGACCTCCAAAGGACACTTAAGCTCTTCACGGAACATATTCAGAGTCCTGGGAATGCGGCCAGTTGCTCCAGCTAAAGGCAAAGGACTGTTTCGCACGGGGCAGCTTGCTATGGCACGGCGTGCAGCCCATTGGCAAGCCGCAGTCTTCCAAACAATTCTGTCTGGTGAGAAGAAGTGCTTGCATCGTGCAGTGGCACCATTCGGAAACCCGAGGAGCAGCAAAGGTTTCCTGCCTACGTGCAGCAGAAGGTTGGGCAGACCGCTGTGGCACACTGCTTGGTTCAAAAGCAACCTCGTTTACCCCTTGCTGAAGGGGACTGGAAGACAGCACACAGCTCTTTGCTTCGTCAAGCTGAAGCACACTGAGATGCTTACCATGGCATCCTGGACCTCCAGCATTTTGGCCACAGGCTCTTTGCATCGCTGCGCCGAGGGCTGCGTGACAGAGGCGAGGCGGGTGGTGTAGAAGGCACATTCATCATTTAGGCGTGCCTCGTGGAAGCGCATAGGTGCACTAAGGAGGTCATCCAAGCGCTGCTTGACTTGGTCTACTGGGGAAAAGACAGCAATGGCAAAGACATAATAAATAATAATATACATATATATTCATACATGCATACATACATACATACATACCCTGCCCATCTGGCAGTGTTTCCCCAGCCACTCTGGGCAGCTCCCAACAGAATATTAAAAAAATTAGAAAACATCAAACATTAAGATATGGACTATTTTGTAATCAATGATTAATTGCAATTATTTCTATAACACTTTTAAAAGTGTCCTAGTGGCAAATATTTATGGACTATAGCCAAATAGTTCTTAACAGCTGAAGGACGGGGAAGACACACAATGAGAGCCAAGTGGAAAAGCAGGACATTTAAATTAATATTATTTCAGACAGGATCCCTACCACACCAGTTTGTAATACAGGGGAACCTCGGTTTTCGAACGTAATCTGTTCCAGAAAACCGTTCGACTTCTGAAACATTCAAAAACTGAAAGTGGAAGCCTCGATACTATAGGGAAACTCAAAAGGGAAGCTGTGTAGCATGTTCGGCTTCTGGAAATCATTCAAAAACCGGAACAGTTACTTCCGTTTTTTTGGCATTTGGGAGCCGAAACGTACGACAAGGGAGGCATTCGGAAACTGAGGTTCCACTGTAAAAGGATATTAATATTATCACTTGCCTTTTAAAAAAATTAACATGAGAATCAAGTTAATCTATCAGGTCTTACCTGCACTATTTCCACAGGACGACATGAGCCCGAGCAAAGGCATGGAGGTACCACTCCCGCTGGATGCCCGGAGCTGGACCGAAGGCATCCGAGAGATGGGGCAAACAGGTTGCTGGCTGGAGGTTGTGGCATGTGTTGTGCAAGGTTCAGGTGCCATAGCAGCAGACCCTGGCGCCAGCTTGCCCAGGTCTGGTCCGGGAGACGGCACAGGGGTAGTGAGGAGACCAGGCTTGGGAGCCTCCCGGGCAGGCGAGCAGTGATCCGACAACAGTTTGTGCAATTCCCCCAGCGAGGGGACAATGTCGTGATCGATGCCGTCATTCACCTCCTGTTGCAAGAGCTGAGCAAGGAGCTTGATGCGCTGGGGGAAGGAGGACATGGGGCAGGTAACTCTAGCTCAGCCGCCCAATAGGCTACATCTTGTTTATGGTGGGACACCGTACCCCACGAGTCCCGGGCTGAAAGTAAACCAGACCTCCCAGAATGCCAAAAGCTACCCGGGGGTCAGCAGGGACTGAGATGTTCCCCTGCAGCCATGAAAGCTAAATAATCCCCCCCCAAAAAAAATGTATGAAAGCACAATTTGCGCACAACTGGATGCTGTTTCCAATACGATTCCAAGCTCTTGTAATAATAATTATTATTATTTATAACCCGCCCATCTGGCTGGGTTTCCCCAGATACTCTGGGCGGCCCCCAACAGAATATTAAAAACACGATAAAACATCGAACATAAACAACTTCCCAAAACAGGGATGCCTTAAGATTTCTTCTAAAAGTCAGATAGTTGTTTATTTCCTTGACATCAGATGTCTTCTAAAAGTCATCGACAGTTGTTCATTTCTTTGACATCTGATGGGAGGGTGTTCCACAGGGCAGGTGCCACTACCGAGAAGGCCCTCTGCCTGGTTCCTTGTAACCTCACTTCTCACAGGGAGGGAACCGCCAAAAGGCCCTCGTAGAACACGGTGCTTCCTTTACAGCAGACTATTCTGATCCAACAGCTGCCTGCTTTTCCCTCTGCAATGCTCTCAGCTTCACCACCCACACCAACCCTACCAGTACTACAGGTGAAGCCAGAATTAGAACTTCATCCTTCTATTTCTTTGAAAAAAGTTTATTTTCCATCTTTCTCCAACCGCCTCTCTGCAGTAAACTCAACCTCACAATAGAAGAAAATTCAAAAGTTTGAAATGTTTCAGAAAACCACAAAGGAGAATTGTGTTAAAAGTAACCACCCCATCCTTTTCATTATCAGAATTTGCAAGCAGGGCCGGTTTAAAGGATTAGCCGAGTTACGTGCTCGGGCCAGTTTCCACCTGGGAGAACAATTAACAAAGATGCTTACCTGGAGTTTCCCCATTTCTGGGGTGATCACAGGAACAGCTGCCACCTTCTTTGCCGATGCTGCTATCTCATCCTTAAAGAGCCGCACAGCAATGCTTTCCTGCGAGGAAAGGAAAACGTCATCTCACCTCCCTGGGTTCCACTTCCACCCCACCAAAGCTACCAACCATCGAGAGGGCAGGTGAGGACAAGGAAAAAGTGGGAAAGACAGCAGGATCCCAAACCTACCGCTCCCCGCATGCCGGTATCAACAGGAGTTCTGACTATATTCTAGGAACCAATTCAGGAGTAGGCTAAAGTTTAGGGAGGGGGAAAACCTACAAAAACATATCAAGCCGGAAAAATGACCATTGCATACTTGGGTTTAGCAAGTCTGCTGCTACTGGCAAATCTTACAACCTATCTTACATGGGGAAGGGGCAGAATGCATGATCTGATTCAGGGTTTCCCAAACTTGGTTCTCCAGCTGCTTTGGGGCTACGATTCCCATCATCCCTGACCATTGATCCAGCTACATATGGATGATAGGAGTTGTAGTCCAGGCAACAGCTGGTGGCCCAAGTTTGGGAAACACTGCTCCAATTGAACTCTTTCTGTTGTAGAGTACAGTGGTACCTTGGTTCTCAAACGCCTTGGTTCTCAAACACTGAAAACCCGGAAGTGTTCCAGTTTTCAAATGTTTTTCAGAAGCTGAACATCCGGTGCAGCTTTCGTTTAAGTGCAGGAAGCTCCTGCAGCCAATCTGAAGCCACGCCTTTGTTTTTGAACATTTCAGAAGTCGAACGGACTCCCGGAACGGATCAAGTCTGGCACTTTTGTTTTTGCTATTTATTTTGTGTTTTTGCTTTTGAGGCTTTTTCAGTTAATTTTTTTTTGATTGTGTGGAACCCAGTTCAGCTACTGATTGATTGTGTGACTGCAGAAATGGATAAAAGCCCCCCATCTAAACAATGACTATCATCAGTGCAGGTAAGAAAAAAAATTATATTTTATTTTTTATCATCTACAATACTGTCTTATTTATTTTATAGTACAGTACACTGATTATTACTTGCATTTTATGGATCAATAGTCTTGTTAGATAGTAAAATTCATGTTAAAGTGCTGTTTTAGGGGATGTTTTTAAAAGTCTGGAACGGATTAATCCATTTTGCATTACTTTCTATGGGAGAGTGCATCTTGGTTTTGGAACGGACTTCCAGAACAGATTAAGTTTGAGAACCAAGAACTCAAACAACAGAAGCTGCCAGACTATAAAGATTTACGAGACGCGGGTGGTGCTGTGGGTTAAAACACAGAGCCTAGGACTCGCCGATCAGAAGGTTGGCGGTTCGAATCCCTGCGACAGGGTGAGCTCCCGTTGCTCGGTCCCTGCTCCTGCCAACCTAGCCATTCGAAAGCACGTCAAAGTGCAAGTAGATAAATAGGTACCGCTACGGCGGAAGGTAAACGGCGTTTCCATGCGCTGCTCTGGTTCGCCAGAAGCGGCTTAGTCATGCTGGCCACATGACCCAAAAGCTATACACTGGCTCCCTCGGCCAATAAAGCGAGATGAGCGCCGCAACCCCAGAGTCGGTCACAACTGGACTTAATGATCAGGAGTCCCTTTACCTTTTTAAGAAACCACATACAAGGCGTTCTTAAGCAGGTGCTCGAGCATAACTTATTAAGTGACCGGAATGCATCGGAGCAACATGAATACAAACAGCTGCTCCCATGGGAAAGGGTTCTGAGTTTTATCCACATGAATTTACCCATGCCACAGCAGTGTCATCCTCCTTGGAGTCCACAGAGTCCTTCAATGAGGTGATCTTGCTTGCCAAATTAACCTGGAAAAAGCAAAATGGACGGGTTTTTTGGGTACCAACGGGTTTCAAACCCTGCTATGTTTTTACAGCCAACCTAGTCACACAGCCAGGAATTATTTTCTAGTTCTACGACCAAGGAACCTTTAGGGGAAAGTAAGAGAAATCAAAATCCTGGGAGCATTTTTGTAAGTAACACACACCAAGTTACCACAATCCCAGCTGATGCTCAAAGAGGGAATTTTTTTTACACAATATAGCATACCTTTGGCGGCAGCTCATTGCCGCGACTAATGCTAAAATACACGTGCACACACTTTTGCATTTAAAGAAAGAAGCAAAAATTCAAGTACGTGGCAGATGAGTTTGCTGGTGGGCAAAAACGGGGGCAAAAACACAGCCTCCCTCTAGGATCCCCACCCTCCAAAAAATATAGAATAAAGGCTATGCACCATCATGTATCACATGCTGCTGTGCTTCGGAGCTCACTGAGGAATCTGCCCGCCATAGCAGGATGCTGAATGAGTAAGAATGGATAAGGACTTGCAACAACATTTTGCAGTGTTGAGTGACCCTATTCAGGATGCGGCATTTGATTTTCCCATTCCCCACCTGGTCTTCCGCTTCAATCCCCGGTCAATCACTCATCATTCCGCAGCTACCAAGCATGTTCAGTCTTCGTGGGGCTGTTCCACCAACTCTTTATGTTTGTTTTTCCTTTTTGTATTTCTGCCAACGCTCCTTTAAACCTGCTAACATGTCTTTCTTGGGCACATATGCTGCTGTTTCAGCCGTGTAACGACTGACCCCCAGAAAACAGATTGTCTCAAGTATCTCCAATGCCTATTCCACAACGGCAAGTCTTCTGACTTACCCAGGAATTGGTACGGTCAGTGGGAACCAGGGATCTTTTAAGAAGTAAAAAAAAGCAAAGGACCCCGGGACGGTTAAGTCCAGTCAAAGGCAACTATGGGGTTGGGGCGCTCATCTCGCTTTCAGGCCAAGGGAGCTGGCTTTTGTCCACAGACAGCTTTTTGAGTCAAATGGCCAGCATGACTAAACCGCTTCTGGCGCAAGGAGGACCGTGACAAGTGCCAGAGTGCACGAAAACACTGTCTACCTTCCCGCCGCAGTGGTACCTATTTATCTACTTGCACTGGTGTGCTTTCAAACTGCTAAGTTGGCAGGAGCTGGGAAAGAGCAACGGGAGCTCACCCCGTTACACAGATTTCAATTGCCGACCTTCTGATCGGCAAGCCCAAGAGGCTCAGTGGTTTAGACCACAGTGTTGCCCGCGTCTATCTTTAAGAGCATCCTACTTACTAAGGATTCCAATACCTGCTCACAGAAGTAGGAATGGGACATTTCAGAGGGTTTTTGGTAAAGGATTCTCAGATAGTTCATTATCTGAGCATTTTTAGAGTATCAGTTCCTGCCCTTCCTACTTGGTTTAGATAAAACACTGGGCACCCACCTTCTTAGCTTTAATGCAGGAAGAAACAGGCGCCCGGTTCCGTATCCAGGGACTGCGATGCTGGTCCAACATAAGAGAAAGTTTTCAGAGGATAGTGTGATGGGAGTCACAGTGAACAGCAAGGCACATAACTTGGAAAAGATGAAACTAACAACTCCATCGTTCTGCCCGGATACTAAGGTCCAGCGCCGAGGGCCTTCTGGCGGTTCCCTCGCTGTGAGAAGCCAAGTTACAGGGAACCAGGCAGAGGGCCTTCTCGGTAGTGGTACCCGCCCTGTGGAACGCCCTCCCACCAGATGTCAAAGAGAAAAATAACTACCAAACTTTTAGAAGACATCTGAAGGCAGCCCTGTTTAGGGAAGCTTTTAATGTTTAATAGGTTATTGTATTTATAAAATGGACTGACAAACCCGGGACCAGGAGGAAGGGACACTGGATGAAGATTGGATTGTTTTATTTTTTCTTCTTTATTTTGTTACTAGGACTGTCTTACATAATTGATGAATGTTAGAAGGATGTTTGAAATGAAATTGCCTGGCTTTAGTATATATGTTTAAAGGATTAGGAAAGAATATAATGGTTATGAGAAGTTAGTAAAGATAAGATTTAGGTTTTGAATTATAAGGTTTTTTATAAGATAATGAGGAAGGTAATGCAATGAAAGATTAGGATAAATAAAGTGGGGAAGGATTTGCTGAATTAACAAATTGAATTGGAATACAGGAAAGGGAGGGGTGAGGAAGTCCGGGAAATAAGCAAATGAAAGTTAAGTAAAGGAAGATGGAATTGTTTTTAACTATTTTTTCCCCTTTTTTGTATTTTTCTTTTTTCTTTTTATTTTTTGTATTTTGTAATATTTTGAAAATTTCAATAAATATCTATGGGGGGAAAAAATAGGTTATTGTATTTAAGTGTTTTGTTGGAAGCTGCCCAGAGTGGCTGGGGAAACCCAGCCAGATGCGCGGGGTATAAATAATAAATTATTATTATTATTATGAAAGAAGATGCTCAACTGTCGAGCATACATTCTTCATGCAGAAAGTCAATACCTGCCATCTCTAGTTAAGAGGATCCCAAGGGGCAATGCCCCAGACCCCAGAGAGCCACTGTCAGTCACAGTAGATAACATGGGGCTAGGTGGCTCAGTGGGCTGACTCAGGAGAAGGCAGCTCCCAGGTTCTTGTACCACTTTAAAACATTTCTTTCCCACTCTGCCTTGCCATTCATTTCCAACAATAAGATAATCACAATGAAGTTCAGCTGATTAAAAGAAAAACAGAGAAACATGACAACTAGTCTTATTCACTACGAGCCTCTGCGAAAGGGGCCAGGCGGTCAAAACACATGAGAGTGGGTTGAGAGTCAAGCATTTCTGGGGAGCTTGCACCATAGCTAGTGGGCTACCACAGAAAAGGCCCTGTTTCCCCAGTTGCCACCTGCTTAACCTCTGAAAACGGGAGGCGCCTGGAAAAGGGCTTCTCAAAATGATGTTACTGGCCAGACAGGTTCAAAAGGGCACAGGTAGGGCACCCTAGGTACAAGGCATATAGGGCTTTATGTTTTCTGTGGGGTTTTTTAACCCAAACTGCCAGTTGTGTCTGAAATTACACAGGAAGCCAGCACAGATGTTTTTTGGCATGGGTAATATATGTTGCCAGCAGCAGGGATGATGCACAGTCTGCTGGTTTCAGACTATTAAGCCCCAGACAATAAAGGATAGGGCTGGTAACTAATCTCTGGTCACCAGAGCTACATTTCCCTCCTGTTTCACCCCAGCAGCGTCAACACAAATGGTGGTTTTCCAGGACATGCCCATAGCTAGCTAGGAAGTGGATGCAGACTTCTGGGCAAGACTTTTAGCAACAAAGCGGCAGGCAACCTCGCCAACCCTGAAGCACAAACCGAGGATTGCGGGGAAGCAATGGGAACCCTCCGAGCTAATCCATAGGGGGTATGGTCAGCAGCTGAACATCTTCCGCCTGGTGTGTTGGCTAGCTGGGCTTCAGAAGCTTCCAATTTCTGCAGACCTGTGAAATGGGACAGAAAGGGGGGGGGACCAGTTATATTATTATTTTATGATTTTCAGTTTTATACATTACAATAATTTTACAATCATTTTAGCATTTCAAAACTCAACTTCCTTCCCCCTCTCTTTCTGTGCTTCCTTAAATTTGTTTTTTTCTATTTTCTGCATATTCCAAATTAACTTAATTTACTCATTTATTCATCTGCTTTAATCGTATACTCTTATAAAACTGCAAGCTATTACAATAATCCTGCCAATGTTTACAGTTTATTTGTAAATATTCAATAAGCCATTTCCACTCTTTTATAAAAAGTTTGTCGTCTTGATTTCTTATTCTTCTGGTAAGTTTCGCCATTTCTGCATATTCCATAAGTTTTTGTATCTATTCTTCTTTCGCTGGGACTTCTGCTTCTTTCCATTTTGGGGCAAGTAACATTCTTGCCGCTGTAGTTGCATACATCAATAAATTTCTATATAGTTTGGGTAGTTCTATCCCGATAATTCCCAAAAGGAAGGCTTCTGGGTTTTTTTACAAACCTTATTTTAAACATCTTTTTCGATTCATTATATATCATTTCCCAGTAAGCTTTAGCCTTACTACAAGACCACAACATATGATAAAAAGAAGCTTCTTTCTCTTTACATTTCCAACACTTATTTGATTTTGATTTAGGAAAAATCAATGATAAGCCATGTGCTTTGATACCAGGAACTTGCAACTCCAAGCAGCCGCGAGGAGGACAAACGCCCAAGCAACTCCTCTGTTAAGTATACCTTTAAGACGCTGTGTGGAGCGGCAGGACACACGCCCAAACTTTTCCGTTGAGCGCACACTCGTGCAGGGCAATGGCAAAGAGGCACTTTCCCCCTAGAGGAAAAGAAACAATCAGTTTGCAACTCTCAACAGTGCAAGCCTTGCTCCCAGAAGGTCTCCCCCTACCCAGCTATCTCCCCAGGGTCACTCTGTACACAACCAAGAAAGTACTTTTGCAGGAAGACTGTGGGGAAACTGCGTTGAGCAGACAAAGAATCCAGTAGCCAGCCAGTGGTGGACCAGTGTGCCCAACTGTTTTCATATCCATTTAGACTGGGGAGGGATCCTTTTTTAGCCTAAAAGTCACTTATTATTATTATTATTATTATTATTATTATTATTATTATTATTATTATTTTAACCTTTGCAATTAATTTGCCTAAGATTCAGGACAAAGCACCACGTTTCAGAAATCCCCCCCCCCCGACAATTCCACCTTTGAAATCCCGGTCATGTCCGGGAAAATCCAGACATATGGATTTGACTGGCCAGTTAAACCAGGTGAGGGCAGTCCAGGGGTCAGCAAACTTTTTCAGCAGGGGGCCGGTCCACCGTCCCTCAGACCTTGTGGGGGGCCGGACTATATTTTTTTTTGGGGGGGGGAGAATGAACGAATTCTTATGCCCCTCAAATAACCCAAAGATGCATTTTAAATAAAAGCCCACATTCTACTCATGTAAAAACACCAGGCAGGCCCCACAAATAACCCAGAGATGCATTTTAAATAAGTTAAGGGACCCCTGACCATTAGGTCCAGTCGTGGCCAACTCTGGGGTTGCGGCGCTCATCTCGCTTTATTGGCCGTGGGAGCCGGCATACAGCTTCCGGGTCATGTGGCCAGCATGACTAAGCCGCTTCTGGCAAACCAGAGCAGTGCACAGAAACGCCGTTTACCTTCCCACCAAAGCGGTACCTATTTATCTACTTGCACTTTGACGTGCTTTCGAACTGCTAGGCGGGCAGGAGCTGGGACCAAGCAACGGGAGCTCACCCCGTCGCGTGGATTCGAACCGCCAACCTTCTGATTGGCAAGTCCTAGGCTCTGTGGTTTAACCCACAGCGCCACCTGCGTCCCCGTTTTTAAATAAGTAGACTCATGTAAAAACACGCTGATTCCCGGACCGTCCGTGGGACGGATTTAGAAGGCGATTAGGCCGGATCCAGCCCCCGGGCTTTCGTTTGCCTACCCATGGGGTAGCCGATGGGTCTCAAACCCCCAGTGAGTTAGGGACTTTCCCGCCATGCGAAGACAGGCTCTGGTGGATTGAGCAGATGAGACCAATAATGGGCCCAACAGACAAGAAGGCAGTTTCTGCATGGGCTATAAAAGGGAAGTGAGGGGTAGATGGGACTCATTAGCCTGGGAAGGTAGCCCATCTAGGAGAAGGAAAACTCTGATCCTAAAGCTCTACTGCCTTGCGGGATTTCCTGTGGAGAAGGCTAAGGAGTAAACCCTACACAGGAATCCAGAGTGGAGTCCCTAAGACAGTTGGATAGTGCCTTGTACACCTCCTTCTGGCAACTCCTGCAGCCCAGCTGGTGACCGATGTATTGCTCTGCTTTCCTTTGGAGGTCTTGCCCGTCTGGGCAGCCCAGGACCTCCATGCACACTGCCCAGGCTTGTGCCCCAGGGAGGTCGCTTCGGTTCTGCAAACATAGTGGCTTGACTTCACCCCCAGTGGTGCACTCTATTAACTCTCAAGACAGATGGATGCCAACAACAGCAGCAAGGAACAAAGCAAGGTCCCACTTGTTATATTCCAGAATGCCAATGGGCATCCTCAGCTGTTTCACACCAGAAGCCTTCCTTGGGATTGTTCCACCAGCCCTCTGGAGATTGCAGCTGCCTCTTGCCACCTGAATGCCCACCTAGGAGCAAATCAGCACCCCAGGAAGTAGAGGAGTGTGAGAGGAAACCGCATGTTGCTGGGCATTGAACCCAGCAGTGGAAACTGGGACAGACACCTGGTGACAGGGAGGGCACTACAGAAATCAAGGCCTCCAATACTGTGCTCTGCTCACCCTAGTGCTCCGATCGGCAGTCGCCCTTAGGGCCGAATGGCTCACGCCGATGTTCAGCAGGATGCTAGCTTTGGCAGCCGGGTCAGGCACGAACCCGTCATCTGCAAATACAGGGAACAAAGTTGGCAAGCAGGTAGGCAGCCTCACCATTAGCTCCTGCTGTTCACATTCCAAAGGAAACCAAGAACAGCTCTCTGTGAAGCAGGTTGCACAGCCTTTATAACCAGTTTGGTTTTGCTCTGTGTTATTCCCCACTTGCATGCTTTGTTCTCAGCAAGACATGAGAATTTCAGGAAGCAGCAATTCAGGCACAGTATATGGAATGCCAATTGAAGGCAAGGAATACGGCTGAGACCATTATTATCAAAATGCACACGCAAGCTCTATCTTCCAGTTTTTGACTTTTATGCTAATTAGGGCTGGGTGATATATCAATATATCATCAAAAAGCAGTTTGAAGTCTATATTGTGATATCCATCTCATCGTCTTTAATCTTACAATACAACACGAATAGCGCTGTGTGTGTGTGTGTGTGTGCGCGTGTGTGTGTGCACGCACACCATGAAAAAGCACAATATGGGAAAAACTGAAGCCAGATGATGCTTCTATCAATTCCTGCAGCCTCTGTTAATTCTGACAGCTCAGCAGTCCCCTTTCTCATGTGGGGAGCAGCGAATCACAAGAATGGGAAAAATCACAATGCAGGAAAAACCGTGAAGTCAGCCAATGCCTCTACATAGCTCCATCCTTATTTCAGACATTGTAATATATCAGTATATCTCGCTGGTGATATAACATGAAGTTGAAAACCAGGTATCACCCAGCCCTACCGTTTGCCTCCACATAGTTCCATTCTTATTTCATACGTCGTGATGTATCGGTATATCACAATGTTTAACTGGAGATATGCAGTGTTGGAAACCAGAATATCTCCCAGCCCTGCTGCAAACGCTTGCAATCACATTTTTATCTACCCCCATAGTGGGCAAGAATGCAAGCCTGTTGGTGTGCTAAAAGGGGAGAGAATGTTGGATTTTGGACAGTGCTGTGACAAACAAATTCTTATGCACGGCATAGGCACTTGAGGAGAAGTGGTTCTGGCTGACGGCACAGTGCATGAATCAGCTGGGAATGGCAGCGTGTATGTTTTTTTACGTGTTTTACATACAGTGTTAAGTTAGGAAGAAAGAAAAGGGGGGGAATGGTGAGTGGGGTGGGGTCGGGTGGCAATGCTTCTATTCTTCTGCTTAGGTATACGTGTGGGGTTTTGCGTCAGCGTCACTTGTGTGGGTTCTCTTGTTGTATTTCTTTGGTGGTGAGAGAGGTTGGGGGTGTATGTTAACAGTTTAAACACTAAACTGTCAAATGAATTACATGTGCCAAGTTTGGAAAATAATCTATTACCCATATCATGTCTTGTGAAGCAAGGGTTCAAAGTACAGTGGTACTTCGGGTTACATACGCTTCAGGTTACAAACGCTTCAGGTTACAGACTCCGCTAACCCAGAAATAATACCTTGGGTTAAGAACTTTGCTTCAGGATGAGAACAGAAATCGTGCTCCAGCGGCGCGGCGCGGCAGCAGTGGGAGGCCCCATTAGCTAAAGTGGTGCTTCAGGTTAAGAACAGTTTCAGGTTAAGTACGGACCTCCGGAACGAATTAAGTACTTAACCCGAGGTACCACTGTATCTTTCTCCGATTCAGGTTGTACAATCGGAGAAGGCAGGCAAAGTTGCTACAGCTTCACTGAGAAATGGCCGACTTGTGTTACAAGACCAACCAAGCTGTGAGAATGAGTCTGGGGCATGTGTGAAAGCTGTCTAACAAAGCTTTGCATAATGTACGCAAACACCCGTCTATGTGTCTGGATAGAAAAGAATGATGGTGCGGCCACTCACCTTTCCATGGTGTCCCTGTGATTTCCTTCTTCCCAGCCGAGTCACTGTTTTAAGAGCAGACAGGAATGAAAGGTTACACAAGCCTCAAAACAGCCAACATATGTGGAACACCTGTCTGCTGGTACCCCCGCTTTACAAGGACACAACAACTATCACACACACTCCATGGATGTATGCTGGGGTGCACTATTGGCAGAGGGTAAAGGCACGATTCGGAGAGGAACAAGTCACAAACTTTTACATTCTTCCCGTACCTACTGATCAAGGACGAAAGACACTCTGTAACCGTGGCTGTAGACATCAATCTGAAATGTGCAGGCAAGGTGAGCATCTTCCCAAAAGAAGGTGGAGTACAGAAGAGTTGGAATGTAGGACTTTGCTGTGGAAGGGAGAAGGGAGATGGGGACCCTACCTATCACCACCCTGAGAAATACTGGGAAACCAGGGCAAGCAGAACAACAGAATTTTTTATTCGCCATGCCTTGTGGCTTCACAATACCCTTGCATTTCACAAATGACGCAAGCTGCCGCCCCAACTGAGCAGCCAGTTCTTTCCTCACCTTTGCGTTGCAATGGCCCCCTCCAGGTTCAGACCTTCTGCCTCAGGCCTGGGGGCAGAATCTTGGGGCTTGCCCACTCCCGGGTTCTCCGTGGGTCGGCTTGGCTTCACCACCTCCACCTGAAGCAGAAGTCAAATAGAGTCAGAGATGCAAGGCAAGCAGCGCCCAGGCATTATTCCAGAGGAAAGAGGCACAAAGTCAGGCAAGACAGCAATCACGCAACAGGGCTAGCCATACACACAGCGGCGTAGCTAGCTGCTCGGGCACTCAGGGGTGTGTGGGCACCATGCACAGGGAGGAGGGAAGCACTGTAGTGCAGCTGAGGACGAGGCAGCGGGAGGACCGAAGCCCCCCCACTGCTGTTTCGGGCCGTGCGGAGCCCGCGTCACACCCAGAAGAGAAATCCGTGGAGAGACGCTTGCCTCGGACGCGTGGCTCGGACGCACCCCGCAGTATGGAGTCCAGTTCACCTCTCCCCCCCCCCCGAGATACGCCTCTGCATACAGAAACACGTTGCCAGGTTAAAAGGGAAGCCTATCAGCTTTGGACAGGGGGTCATAGGTACAGATACAGCTGTCCACAGACCTCGCCGTCAATGCACACTAAAAGGTGGAGTTGAGAACGGTCCTCTACTAAAGTTTGTATGAAGGGCTGAACAATTATTTAAAAGTGTAAGAAGCACAAACAGCACCAGGGGTAGTGTGTGTTCTTAGGTGTGCTAGCAACCAGGACTGGATGCAAAAACGACTAGAACTACCACCTTTCAAAACATGCTGAAGTTTTCTTCCCCTTAATACCCTGGAGAAGGAGTTAAGTATTCTAAGCCGTTTGTGTGCAACAGAGAGAGAGAGAGAGAGAGAGAGAGAGAGAGAGAGAGAGAGAGAGAGGAGCCCTCCCAGCAATATCCACTGAGAAAGTGCAATGATTCCTACAAAATGCTGCTGCATATGGTGCCATTTTGGAACAATAATTTTAGTGGAACTGCTCAGTACCCACTTTGGGCAGGACTTCTGGCGGGGAGGATTTAGGGGTTAAAAAAAAAAGTCTGGACGGATGGTCAAGTTTGCATCCGTTACATTACACCTGATCTCCCACCCTGCCTCATGCTTCGAGGACACAATCCCAATTCTTGCTTGCCAGGGGCTCTTCCAACCACAAGCCTACACAGTGGTACCTCGGAAGTGAAACGAAATCCATCCCGAAAGTCCGTTCGACTTCCAAAACTTTCGGAAACCAAGGTGCAACTTCCAATTGGCTGCAGGAAGCTCCTGCAGCCAATTGGAAGTGTCGCAAGGTGTTCGTTAACCAAGGTACGACTGTATGCATTTATTGGCTAGCTCAGCAGCCCCAAAGCAAACATCTTCAGAGGCAAGTTCAACCTTTTTTACGCCTTCCCAAATCCCAGCATTCCTTGCCAGGGTTGCCACCAGATTGTCAGAAAAAATGAAGAAAAGCATCAGTTACCTACCCGAGGCCCAGGGTTCTCAAATGTAGCCAACCGCATCTTAAGCTGCTGAGTGTTCGAGGACTGTGGCTGATTCACATCTGTTGCAGGACAAGAGAGTTGGAGATTTTTTAAGGAAACCAGAAAAAAAAAATGTTTCATTTGTCATTTGAGAGCAATTTCTCTACACCCATAAGCGTTTGTTTTGAATATTTCAAAGTCCCACCAGATTGCAAACACAAGGAGCTGCATGAAGACTCTGCCTGACCGAACCCTGTTCTCCCAGGTGCCAAGAAAGAAACCCAATTTCAGTCGTACCTTTTGAAGTTGATCTGGAGATGTACGACATGCGAGGAAGATTCGCTGCAGGAGCCCCTGTGTATAACGATCCTCGACCAGTCTACAAGGAGAGAGAAATGGAAGTCCAGCATTCCCAAGAAAATGAAGTACAGCATTTCCAAGTTACTGCAATGCTAGGCCTGTTTCCCCACATTACAGTCACCAGGACCCCATACAATAGCTTCCATAGCTTTGAGAAAATGGCTAACTAGAGCACACATCAAAAGCAAGGCATGCATCTAGGCTGGATGGGCAGGCTCAGACCCAAGACAGAGTAAAATCAGGACAGAGTTATGCTTAATGGTTGTGTGACTTTAGCACCAGCATGGAACACCTTTCCCAATATGCAGACGGACTATTTTGTTCAGAACCCTATGCGCAGCCTGTCAGTTCTTGCTATTTATATAACGCTTCCGACAGAAAGTTGTTAAAGACGCCTTAAGAACAGGTTTCAACAAACATTTCAGCAAGCCTAAATGCCAGCACACAAAAATTAAACACAAGTGCACAACATTGAAGCCGAAATCACAAAACATAAATCTGAATTGAATCCATATACAGACACAGACAGACAGAAGCAGATGGTCAAACAGAATTTCAGCTCTCCTTCATTGAAAGCTCCATCTTGTGAGCTAGAAGGGCAGGGTTGGCCCAAGACATTTTAGCACCTGAGGCGAACCACGAAATGGTGCCCCCCTCCATGCCAGGAAAGAAGGGGTGGGAGAATGTCTACATCAGGAATAAGGGGGAATATTAATCTACACTGGCATCTGCTGCCCCTGTCAGTGGCAGACCGGGCAAGTCTCAAATTTCAGCTGTGTGATGAAATTTCAGCCCTGTGAGACGCCAAAATTTGGTGCTCCCACCTCTTACCCCCCATAGTTCAACATAGCGTGCTCCATCGTTCTAAATCATAATTGTGGCGCCCTCTGCAGCACCCTCAAGACTCAACACCCAATGTGACCAAACTGGTCGTGCTCTCCTAAATCTGCCTTTGCCCTTGTGGATTCTGCCTGCCGCCTGAAGCAGTTGCCTTGCCTTGGGTTATGAGTGGGCCGGCCCTGTGGAAGAAAAACTAAAGACCTCCCTAAGCTCAGAGCTCTTGCCCAGAGCAGGGGAGAGACCCTGTGGCCCAACTCCAGATATTGTTGAACTCCCAACTTTCACCAGCTCCTGGCAACCTGCCCACTGGACAAGAATGAAGTTGAGGGGAGCCCAGCGGTATTTGGACGGCCACAGGTTCTCCACCCCAGGCCTAGAGGTATAAACGACATACATGCTGGACACATGCTCCATTCCAGTGCTCCCCAAACTTGGGTCTCCAGCTGTTTTTGAACTACAACTTCCATCATCTCTAGCTAGCAGGACCTGTGGTCAGGGATGATGGGACTTGTAGTCCAAAAACAGCTGGAGACCCAAGTTTAGGAAACTCTGATCTATTCCATTTCAACACAGCAGACAAGCACACGCCACATAAATGCACAACAGCACTGCTGTATATGGTAGAGACTTACCCCAACGATAGTTGAGCATGCTCTATTCCCTCTTAAAGGGACTCGTCCGGCCAGGCTGGGCTTGTGGGCTGCACTTACCATGTGGTTAGTCAGCCCTGTGTTGGACAGGATGCTGGCAAGAGCTGCTACATCTGGCACAAACTCAACTGTGCTCACTTCTGCAAGAAGAAAAAAATGTTTGGGGATCATACCAGCAGCACAGAGAAGTAGAGAAGTGTAGTCGGTGGTGATGGGTAATCCAATGCAGTTGGTCAACCCACATACCTCAAAGCTGGTCTCTAAAGCTCTGAAATATTCTCCCAGCCCTGCATGGGACGTGTAGTCAAACTGGCAAGAGCCAACTCCCAGAATGATACCAGGATCTCCAATAGGGGATTTAAGTTTAAGATCATCCAGAGTATAGTCTGTCACAAGCAAACAGCATGGTACAGTGCAGAAGGAGAAACTAGGTGTTTTTGCTTCTTCTTTTTTACAGACTAAAAAATGGGTTAAAATAGGATAGAGATCGTTGCAGATTGAGAAACTGGTTTAAATCTAAATAGCTGAAGCAAATGAACACAGGAAGCTATAAGAACCACATCACTGTTTATCCCCACTCATAGGTTGCCTGGTAAATGGCCCAGTTTGATTCCTCCATCAGATATCCCAACTTAAGAAACAAATCCTTTTTCCACTTGAGTAGTTTCATTTAAAAAAAAGGTAAAGGACCCCGGATGGTTAAGTCCAGTTAAAGGTGACTATGGAGTTGCGGCACTCGTCGCACTTTTCAGGCCAAGGAAGCCGTTGTTTGTCCACAGACAGGTTTTCTGGGTCATGTGGCCAGCATGACTACACCGCTTCTGGAGCAACAGAACACTGTGACGGAAACCAGAGCGAATGGAAACACTGTTTACCTTCCTGCCACAGTGGTACCTATTTATCTACTTGTACTTGTGCTTTCAAACTGCTAGGTTGGCAGGAGCTGGGACAGAGCAACAGCTCACTCCATCGCAGGGAAGTTGCATTAATCCACTAGTTAAAACCCAGACATGCAATTTTGTTTTCCCTTCAAAGACATCGGGTCTTTCAAAACCAATAATGAGTCTTCTCAGCTGTGATCAGCCGCAGTTTAAGCACACTGTTGCACCTTTACTTGTGTGTGTTTCAAGGTTATCCTTGTAAGGAACTGAGCAAGGTGGCACATGATTTTTGCAGTAAAACAGTGAATATGCAGAAAAGGCTTATAGCCACGCAACCACCCTTTCTACCTCAAGATATTTATTTGTGCTACGTTAGAATCAAGGGCTTTTCACAATGACTCTAAAGCAGCTTATCTTTACCAACAGTCATCAGAGGCAGGTTAGGCCAAGACCACCTAACAAGGATATAGAACAAGATTTTCTGCATCGAGCGCCGTATTCCAGCTACCCATTGTCCCCAGGCGGAGGTCAATTTGCTTCCCTTACATTTTATGATTTAGCAAGCAGCAGAGCCCAAACAATCAGAGCTCAGCCAAAAACCCATCAGCATGGACCACTCATTCTATCAAGTTAAGGCCAGTCGGAAAACATGGTTCACAATGATTCATCTCTGCCAAAAACAAAAACAAAACAGCAGCAGCAGCACACTAGAAAGATCCTTTGCTGTCATGATCAATACCTTTGCCATTGGGCACGCGACCTTCATTCCTGTGACCCGATGTGCTCAGATGCATCTCTCCCAGGGGTTCTCTAGAAAGGATCTTGGGCATTAACCCAGATGCAGGTTCCACCGCAGAAGCATCAGGTACTAAACCAGAGTGAGGCATCTTGCTCATCTCAATCCCTTTCCTCCTCACGTTGGACGGACATGCCTAGAGGGAAAAGGAGAGAGACAAGGATTCTACTTGTTCCAGTGCTATGTTCCAATCAAAAGGCTTGTCGCCATTCAGGAAAGGGCAACCGAATTCTGGAAGAGGGCAAGCCTGCAAGTGGGAAGAAGACAGGCTCCCTGTGAGTGAGGCCATTCTATTGTCAGAACAATAACTCCTGAGTCCCGGTGCTCAGCACTACCTTTGCTGGACAACCAGACCCCTAAGGTATACAGTGTTTCCCAAACTTGGGTCTCCAGCTGTTTTTGGATTACAGTTCCCATCATCCCCGACAACTGGTCCCACTAGCTAGGGATGATGGGAGTTGTAGTCCAAAAACAGCTGGAGACCCAAGTTTGGGGAACACTGATTTAGATAAAAGGCAAGGAAGGGGAGATGTGATAGATAGGTAGATAGATAGGGTATGATTATGCACACATTGAAAAAGTGGGTGGATAAGAGGTACTTATTGACTTCCACAAGAAGCAACGATGGCCCCCAACTTGGAGGGTTTTAAAAGAGCACCAGGCAAAGTCAAGGAGGACAAAGCTATCGACGGCTACCTCCAATATCAAAGGCAGTACATCTCTGAATACTAGTGGCTGGGAATTGCAGGTGGAGAGAGCACTATTGTGCTCATGTCCTACTTTCAGACTTCCCATAGGCATCTGGTTTGTTGCTTTGAGAACAGAATACTGGACCAGATGGGCCATTGGGCCTGATCCTGCAGGGCCGTTCTTATGGGAAATGCTGACAGCCCTCTGCACTAAGGCTGTACATCAAAAGTGCTTGGCAAGGAAAGAAACTGGTCTTGCTAGCGAGGGATGATGGGAGTTGTAGTCCAAAAACAGCTGGAGGCCCAAGGTTGGGGAACACTGCTCTAAAACAGCAAATGAGGATGCAAGGACTGATTTGACAGACTAAGCGGGGATAGGATCTAGAAATGGGAGATCAGCACAGGGCATTTCCGACTGCTGAAAATTCTACCCAGGTTTCTATTTGCAGCCTTCGGCAGCTACCACCCAAGCAGATCTCAAGCTTGTTCTGAAAACCTCGAGGGCTAGAAACCATTTCATTAAAAAGTGAATACCAGCACTGAAAGAGTGAGAGGCTGCAACAAGCAGGATGCAACACAGGTAACAATTTTCTCAAATCAGAGAGGGAATACCTAGCCTAAGCCAAAGGCAGCTCCACCACACTCACCTGATGAAGGCTATTCTGTGGCTGCTGCCGAGACTGCTTCACCTCTCGTGGGATTCTGCTGTTGCGCAGCACTGGGATCTTGCTGCTGCTCAGGGCACCTGAAGCAAGCGACGCACTTTTCTCCCGTCCTTCTCCTGCAGAGGTCACAGGAAGGGGCAAGACTTCTTGCAAGTTTTCCTTCCCAACTCGAGCCATTTAGAATTCCTGTGCTGATGCTACGGTCGAATCCTTTGTGGCAGTATTTGCACCTATGGGTAGGGGAGAGGAAAAGGCTTTTGAAGCAAGGAAAGAGAATGAGAGGCACAAGGAAGCCACCTATGGGACAAGACTAATGCAAATAATACTATTTGTTCCCCACAACAAATGCTTGGTTTGCTGTTTTTTAGCTGGCGAGCACAGAAGGCTAACTGTATGCCTTCAAAAGTGTTCTGAAGAGCTTTAACACAACCAGGTACCCAAACTGGACCCAAACCGTTCCTTCCTTTGCCAGCTGTCACCTGGCAAAATTCTTTTCAGCAGGCTGTTAATAAAGATGTGACGGGAAAGTTTGGTGAATGGTCACAGAAATCAGACAGTGAGAAATATTCAAACATACAATCAGCATCAGAAACCCACGAAATGCTCACAGTTCTGTACGGAGATGAAGCTGTAACTCAAAAGACAGTGTATGAGTGGTTTAAGCATTTCCATGAAGGGCAGCAAACCATTGAAGATGACCCACCTTCTGGCAGACTGTCGACGAGCAGAACTGTGGCTAATGCCAACAGAGTTTGTGAGTTATTGATGTGGGATTGGCGTTTGTCCATCCAAATGATGGCGGAAGAATTGCACATTCCACGTGAAATCTTTTGTATAATAATTTATTATTAGTTTCCAATTGCAATAACCCAATAAAAGCCTGATTGGTACAATACCAAATTATAATACAGTGGTACCTCTGGATATGAATAGGATCTGTTCCGGAGCCCTGTTTGCATCCAGAAGCAAACGTAACTAGCGATGGCCCATCTGTACACGCACGCGTCGCTTTTCGCCGCGTCTGCGCATGCGCGAACAGCAAGACCCAGAAGTAACACACTCCGTTACTTCTGGGTTGCCGCAAAGCGCAACTCAAACGCGCTCAACATGAAGCATATTCAAGCCGAGGTATGACTGTACAATCAACGATGCCAATTGTTCAGATGCCAAATTGTGTTATTTTGTTCCGCCTCCCCCCCCGCCTCATGCTAGAATTGATGGTTTGATCATTTACTTTAACTCTGCCTTCCAAAAACATATCAATTCCAATGAGACACCAGTCAGAATAACGAACCCTTAATACCGCAGCAGCAACAAAAAAAATTCCTTCCAGTAGCACCTTAATGACCAACTAAGTTAGTTCTTGGTATGAGCTTTCGTGTGCATGCACACTTCTTCAGATACTTCAGATGGCATCTGAAGAAGTGTGCATGCACACGAAAGCTCATACCAAGAACTAACTTAGTTGGTCTTTAAGGTGCTACTGGAAGGAATTTTTTTTTGTTTTGACTATGGCAGACCAACACGGCTACCCATCTGTTACCGCAGCTGCAGTTTTTTTTTAACGACTTCCATTGGCGTTTAAACGGTCCTGAAACAAATGATGAAGAAATTCAAACTCTCTCTTTCCTTCTTCTCGCGTGCGGCTATTAGTCTAGAATAATTCTGCCTTTGACGTGACGGCGGGCGTCCGGGAAAATCCGGGCGCGTGGCGGCAGCCCCCCCCCCCCCGCTGGCCCCTTCAAACTCTTCCGTCTCCCTACGATACCGAAGAACCGAAGCTCGACTCGCTGGCCGCCTACCGAATCCCGGAGGCCAAACGTTTCGGAGCTCAGTAAAGGCTTCCATTCCTTCATTCCCTCAGTCCCCTTCCCTTGAACCCCGGACCCTCTTCTCTCGCGCAGCCCTCCGCCCACCTGCCTCCGGCCAACTCCTTTCCTTTCCTCCGCCGCCGCCGCCTCCTTCTCCTCAGGCGAGGCCGTTGACGCGCAGCCATCCGCCTCTCCCGAATCAAGTTCGTAAAGCAGCGGGACGAGCTGATTGGCCTCTCCGCTCCCTCACGTGGCCCGGCGGAAGGGGCGGGGCCGCAGGGAAAGAGCCGAGGATGGGGCCGGAAGCGCCGGCTCGCCGAGCTTCAGGAGAAGGAGGAAGCGGAAGTTGCGTCAGGACCGAGTTCCGGAAGGCCTCTCGTTCACGCTCGTGCACCACGCGCGCCTCAATTCTCGAGTCAGGTACCGCGGTTTTCACGGGCGGGAGTGTTTCTGAGCATGTATAAGTTCGCTAGTAGTGGCAGGAGAAAGAGAGGGAGGGAGGGAGGAGCTAGTTTGGGTTGTTCATGAAGGGTGCCGTCTGGGAGCGGCCGCCGAGACCACATAACACCGGTCTTGAAAGGCCTACAATGGCTCCCAGTACGTTTCCGAGCCCAATTCAAAGTGTTGGTGCTGACCTTTAAAGCCCTAAGCGGCCTCGGCCCAGTATACCTGAAGGAGCGTCTCCACCCCCATCGTTCAGCCCGGACACTGAGGTCCAGCGCTGAGGGCTTTTTGGCGGTTCCCTCACTGCGAGAAGCGAGGTTATAGGGAACCAGGCAGAGGGCCTTCTTGGTAGTGGCGCCCGCCCTGTGGAATGTCCTCTCATCAGATGTTAAAGAAATAAACAACTATCTGACGTTTAGAAGACATCTGAAGGCAGCCCTGTTCAGGGAAGTTTTTAATGTTTGATGTTTTATCGTGTTTTTAATATTATGTTCAGAGCCGCCCAGAGTGACTGGGGAAACCCAACCAAATGGGGAGGGTACAAATAATAAATTATTATTGTTATTATATTATTATACTCCCTGGGTGACCTTGGTCATGTCCTGTCTCACATGCAGATGTGAGGATAACATGCGGTGGGTGGGTGGGGAATCCCATCTGAATGCCTCCTGAGCTTACTGGTGAAAGAGTGGGGTTGTTGTGGGGGGGGTGGACAGAATTGCCAGCTTTTCACACCCTATTTCTGACAGGTTTCTCTGCCTTCCAAAATATATAAAAACATAATAAAACATTAATCATTAAAAAAATTCCCTATACAGGGTTGTCTTCGGTCGTATAGTTGTATAGTTACTTATCTCCTTGGCTTGGGGGTTGCATAACTCCATACATGGGTGTAACCAGGATTTGGGGAGCAGAACCTCATATTTTACAGCAATTTGTATTGATTTTTACTGTTGGGGGGCAGGGGGACAGCTATGTCCATGATTCCATAACCTCCCAGCATTTCTCCAGTAGGGACGTCCTACATTACTCTCCAATATTTCTCAGATGAAAGTAGGGAAATCCTCAGGAAAAGCGGGACATTGCACTGCACTGTACAGTTCCTAGTTTGAAAAAACATGACAACACGCTAGAAGACTCAGCTACACAACTGCAAAGAAAACATTTTAAACGTGTTGTAAAGTGAGATATACAAATGAGACACTAGATGGCGAAAGTGAGCCATGCCAAATTCAATGTCTTTTTCAAAACTTGTTTAAAAAGCATTTTGTCCTTTTTTTTTCTTTTCACGTTGGTAGCCTGAGACCGTTGTGGACGCCATGGCCAAAATCAAAGCCCGTGATTTGCGAGGGAAGAAGAAGGAAGAGCTGTTGAAGCAGCTGGATGACCTCAAGGTGGAACTCTCTCAGCTGCGGGTGGCCAAGGTGACCGGTGGAGCAGCCTCCAAACTCTCAAAGATCTGGGTGGTTCGCAAATCCATTGCCAGAGTGCTGACCGTCATTAACCAGACCCAGAAGGAAAACCTCAGGAAGTTCTACAAAGGCAAGAAATACAAGCCTCTCGACTTGCGGCCTAAGAAGACACGTGCCATGCGGCGCAGGCTGAACAAGCATGAAGAGGGTATGAAGACCAAAAAGCAGCAGCGAAAAGAACGCCTGTACCCGCCTCGGAAATACGCTGTGAAGGCATGAGCCCGAACTGCAGCATTCTGATCCTCTGACCAGCATTTTCCTATTAAAGGTGTTTTGGCTGTTTAAAAATAATAATAAAAAAGCATTTTCACAGTGTTTTTTATGTGTGTTGATTCCGCCTTTGTTATGTTTTGAATCATGGTTGTAAATTTCATAGTGATAACTTTGTTTTCTCTTTTTTGAAAACTGCTTTGACTTTCCAGGTAGTGTGGCAACAACAGGGAATGGAGGGTTACCGTATTTTTTCCGTGTATAAGACGAGGTTTTCCCCCAGATTCTTAAAGTTTAAAATTGGGGGTAGTCTTATACTCCGAATGTTGCAATTAAATATATAAATAAATTATTATTAATATTTATTTATTTATACCCCACCCATCTGGCTGGGTTTCCCCAGCCACTCTGGGCAGCTTCCAACAGAACACTAAAATACAATAACCTATTAAATGTTAAAAGCTTCCCTAAACAGGGCTGCCTTCAGATGCCTTCTAAAAGTCAGATAGTTGTTTATTTCCTTGACATCTGGTGGGAGGGCGTTCCACAGGGCGGGTGCCACTACCGAGAAAGCCCTCTGCCTGGTTCCCTGTAACTTGGCTTCTCGCAGGAAGGGAACCGCCAGAAGGCCCTTGGAGCTGGACCCCAGTGTCCGGGCAGAACGATGGAGGTGGAAACGCTCCTTCAGGTATGTGCCGTACATGCCGCCATATATTGTCTGGCAGTTGCAGCTCCTTGCAGGGGAGGGGCAAGGCGCACTGCGGGGCCTCCGGAGTCTGCCTCCTCCACCCTCCCACTCAGCCACCATACAGCTGGAGGGGAGGCAGCCCATGGGTGAGATGACTTTGATCCCCTTGGCCAACTGGAGTGGTTGATGGAGCCAGCGCGGAGCCGGGCAGCTGAGCGTGAACGAGGGCATGTCCCTGGTGGCCGGGAACTGCAGAAGTCAAATTGATTTTTTCTGCTCCACTCTCAAGCATCCAGGGGAGCGAACTGCCCTCTGCGTTGCTTCCTCCCCAGCTGTAGGGCGGCTGAGTGAGAGGGGGCAGGCAGACTCTGGAGGCCCCACAGTGCTCCCCGCCCCTCCCCTGCAAGGAGCTCAGTGATGGCACCCAGTGCGGGCTAAGAGGAGCAGCAGTCGTCACACTGCTTGCCTCACTGTTTGATGTTTAAAATGTTTATTTCTTAATTTGGGGCTCAAAAGAAAAGGGTGGTGTCTTATGCACGGAAAAATACGGTAGTCACTTTTCAGTAGTGTTTACTAATATGCTGTGCATCCACACTGAACCACAGTTTGTATTGATACGATGCATGAACTGTGTGCCACCTTTTTTTTAATTATGCCCCTTTCCCTTACGTCTTTTTGAAAGGTAAAGGGACCCCTGACCATTAGGTCCAGTCGTGGCCGACTCTGGAGTTGCGGCGCTCATCTCGCTTTATTGGCCGAGGGAACCGGTGTACAGCTTCCGGGTCATGTGGCCAGCATGACTAAGCTGCTTCTGGCGAACTAGAGCAGCGCACAAAAACGCCGTTTACCTTCCCGCCGGAGCGGTACCTATTTATCTACTTGCACTCTGACGTACTTTCGAACTGCTAGGTTGGCAGCAGCAGGGACCGAGCAACGGGAGCTCACCCTGTTGCGGGGATTCGAACCGCTGACCTTCTGATTGGCAAGTCCAAGGCTCTGGTTTAACCCACAGTGCCACCTGTGTCCCTCTTATGCCTTTTACAGCAGCACCGAAATTAGGCAGGTGAAACTTTTTCCAACATGCAAATGGACAAATGGTGCGGGAAAGCCTCACAATCTCAGTTTCCTTGTCAAGGCTCAGACACAGAGCAATGCATGCCTTTTCTGCATGTGTTAGAGTAGCTTGAGCAAACGAGTACATTTGAGTTCAGCAGGAGTCGCAGGAAGACCACCAAGCATGAGAGAGAGAGTGAGAAAGCACAGAACACAGAGGACTTCTCAGTATGTTGTTTATTGGCTGGCTGGTTGGAAGCAATACATGGCCCGTTTCACACAATGGCCACTTGTCATCAGATAACTGTCACTAGTCAGGGGAGATCGAGAAGCACCAGAAACAGAGGTCTACTGCAACCATTCATAGAGTCTCCATGTACCCTGTTTCTTCGTAGGAGTGTGGGAGACAAGGAATTGTCCCGTGGGGTTGATACTACATCATTATTTCTCAAGCTAGACATCAGTGAGGCAAGCCAAGTTGTAAGGGAAGGATGTTCTGGAAAGCCAGTTGTATGTGCACATGCTGGGAAAGAGCACAAAATAGTGGGGTTACTGGGGAACCGGCATAAAATAGTGGGGGAGAAAGAGAGAGGCAGAGAGGAGCAAGTTTGGGTTGTTCATGAAGAGTGCTATTAGCATGGTGGAATTAGCACCATGAATTCTTACCAGGTCTGAGTAGGGAAACAGGCAACATGGCTATCAAAAAGAGGGAAAATCAGCACCAAAACCCAAAAAGGGGATCCGTATTTTCAAAGCCTATTATCAAAAAGGGATGATAAGAGATTGAAGCAAGGCTGAAATGGTTATCAAGCTGCAGAACTCAGTAATGGGACAGCAGCATCATATAAGCGAATAATCCCAAAGAAATTCTTATAATGCAGCCCAGTCGTATACCAAATTGGATACATGCCACACTCTGCATGGGATTGCAGGCTTTTAGGTCCGAAAGTACTTTTGCTGTTTTCCCCAACAGAATTTTGCAGCCAGAGCCTGTTTGCAAATGTCCCTTGATTGTCATAACTATTATAAGACTGGATCTAAAACAAAAGGGGAAAAAATCCCTGATTGGTGTCCCAAAGGAAGGGGGTGTAGGGAGAAAATGGGTGTCATGGCTACTATAAATGAGTACTCTTCTTTATTTTGAACCTTCAGTGACAACTTCAGTCCTGAAATGTCAGATTTCTTGCAATCCAGAATAAATAATGAAACACTTTTTGTCAGCTGGATGCTTACAAAACACTAAATGCCTCTGCCATAATTATTTGTACTGAAAGGCAACAAATAGATTCAAGTGCTAGGACCCCTGTAGCAGGATGGACAGATACAATTGACAGGATCCAACCCAAAAAGTTGCTGTGGCCTCGCATTATACTGCCTTGGTGGTTGAGTCTGTCGCATTGCACCCCTATAACAGTTAAACCAAAAGTGTATTATTTTCAGAATAGCAGCCCAGAGAAATGGATCATAAAAGTATTACTTACAAGGTGGTAAGCATTTTATTCATGTGATAGGGTAACATTAAACTGAAGAGAGAGAAAAGCAGGCAAGCATTTCTCTTCTTATCTCTGGTCCTAGTGCTGTGGGACTACAGCACTAAGATCAGAGATGAGCCTCTGCCTGCTGATGCAGCATCAACTTTGAGTCATATGACATCAGGTGATTGACAGGTGGGCAGTCCCACCCACCTGTCAAAATGGTCCACAGGGGGTGAGTCAGTTCTGGATTGGAGGGTATGAAATGTTAAGGGGAGAAGGAGAGAAAGAAGGGAAAAAAGATCAGGTGACAGCAAGAGAGCTGAAGTGGAAAGACAAGATGTCAAAGAAATCTGAGTATGTGTGCAGCTGGGAGAAAGCTGGATTTAAGGGAAGATAAGTTGAGAAGCCACTGTTCTCCAGTAGGAGAACCATTTAGGTCATTATATATCATGTTTCGATGGGGTTAGTACAGGGACATCTGCACGAAAAAATAATGGAGTAAAACAGTCAAAGGTGGATCACGCTACTTTGTCAGCCAAAACAAGAAGGAAAAAAGTTCTTTGGAACCCGAATGTCCGATGCGGCTTCCGATTGGCTGCAGGAGTTTCCTGCAGCCAATCAGAAGCCACGCCTTGGTTTCCAAACATCGAATGGACTTCCGGAACGGATTCCGTTTGACTTCCAAGGTGCGACTAGTTATTTTAACCGTGTTAGCTCAGATTGTACTAAAAAGCCATGCCTAGGTGTTTCCCTGTGTTCCAAGAACTCTCTGTTCAGCTGCCTTCTTCACGCCTATAGGACTAACCTGTATGCGATATAGATGATGAGGAAGTCCAGCTGTGTTCTTGCCTGATAAGACCAGAACCATCCCTTGTGGAAGTTGCAGAAAGTGCAGGCAGGGGTAAGACAGGAAGATAAGGAAGATAAGGAAGGAAGCAAAGGAGAGCAAGACTCTGTGGGAGGCCACCCTAGGGGATTGCTATTGTAGCTATGGCCTGCCTAATGCCGTTGGACTACAACTCCCACAATCCTTTGCCCTGCTGGATGGGGCTGAAAAAGTCAAATGGCTGGGGGTGGCGGGAGGACGCAAATCAGCCCGTAAGAAGTTCAGCCTTTGAAAAGTTGTCTTTCTCAAGGACCACGTTTTGTCTGATTGGAGAAAATTAATTTAATTTAACCCTATGGATTGCCTCTAAAGAAGAGGCAAGGAAATATCGCTTTAAGGCTGTGGGATTTTCTTCTGAGTAAACAGTTAGAGGATTGCCTGTTAAGATTGACACTAGGACCCTTATGATAAACGAAACCCCATAAAAGCCAGGGTGGGGGGAAAGCTTTTTTAAAGAGCCTCCTGCAAAATCTGATTTCTTAAAAAAAAAAATGTAATTCTGTTTTCTAGCTTGGGTACACTTCTGAAGATTTGGGGGACAAAATAATGAGAAATAGAATTTGTATAGTGCTTTCAGATGCTCTAAGCATATCACGTGAATTAGCTCATTGTAATTCTTGCCTTAGAGGGCTGCTGTAAAAATTGCAATGAGATAATTCACGTGATGTGCTTAGTCAGTAGCATTATCTGCCCATACTGCAGATGGGAAGGGAAAACACTGAGGCTTAGAGAGAACAACTTTGCCTAAGGCTACCTAGCGAGTTCATGGCAGAGGTGGGGTTTGAACCGGGGACTGCTCCATTAACATAGCTCACTTTCTTAGCCAATATGCTACACCAGCTCACACTTACATTCTTGATTAAAGGAGATTCTCGTTCGTGAGAATCCCTGAAAGCGGCGGTTTTGGTCTCAGTGGCCGGTATGCAGAATCAGTATCAAGGCCAACAGGGGTGGGCAGTAAACAACGGACTGCGACCAAACTTTTGGTCCTCTTTGGTGTTTCTAGGCTGACTCGACTTGCCAGATGTGAAAAGCTTACCAGCTGCAAAGCCATGAATGGCAGGCACCCCCAAACTCAGTCCTCCAGCTGTTTTGGGACTACAACTCCCATCATCCCTAGCTAACAGGACCAGTGGTCAGGGATGATGGGAGTTGTAGTCCCAAAACAGCTGGAGGGCCGAGTTTGGGGGTGCCTGCTCTACGGACTTGATCTCTCAATCACCACCAAGGCTAGGCTCTACACACAACTGGCAGATCTGTGCCAGCCTAGCCTGGGCTTTCATGGATTAACGCCCGACGCCCTGTAGAAAGGCAACACTCCTCTTCTTTCACGACAACACTGGCTGGAACGGGAAGGCGAGAGACTGCGTGGTTAAGAGAGGTAGGAGGCAGCTGGAAGAGGAAAGCAGGGATGGAGAAACTCCCCGCTCTCCAGCCCGTGTGTGGTTATTGCTGGGGTCGCAACCAGGCTACCCCCCAGGAAGGCTAGAAGTGCACATTGAAGGAGCAGGGCTGGCTGGGGAAGCCTGGTACAGTGGGGGAAGGCGGTCGGAGGTCAGAGGTATCATTCACCATCATCATAAATAAGGCCAGTGCGGCTTTGTTGGGGGGGGGAGGTCTGCTGCTGGGACTTCTGCACATTGGATAGCTGAGTGCCTGTCTCCACGGCATTGGTGGTGGGGGGAGGGAGGGAGGGAGGAGATGTCTGGGGCTCCCCAAATCACTTCTCCATCTCAGCCCTCTGCTCTTTTCTTGATTCAGTCACCACCTGCAGGAGACAAAATGCAAAAAACCGATAGAAAACAGGTCAGAGCCGAGAGGGAAAGGCAGGACCATCCGATAGGTGTATTGCTGAGCTTGGAATAGGCAACGCTCACAGGATCATAGACAGGGCATTCCACAGTTCCTTGCAAGGAACACACCTGAGCGCTACATTTGGGATAGGGTTCATTTTGCTGTTGTTTAAACCAACAAAAAAAGTTTCTAGGCCTCAAGATGGTCAGCCATGGTTTGAGCAGTTGTGAGTTAAAAGCTGGAGGGAGGAGGGTTGGTGGGTTTTCTTGGCGTTAGTGGGGAGACTTCAGTCTCTTGCATACCGCTCTGCCTCTCCCCTCCATGGCTGATGTAAACAGAAAAAAGGTTATGCTAATATATGTAAATTTGCACTACTTGCATGATTTATACAGCAGGAGGTGTCGACATGCCACTGTACCTCTATGGCTGCTCATGCTTTCCGTGTCGCCACCCCAAATCTATGTTTCTGTCTCCCACCCCAAATCCACAACACACAAGAGAAGGGGTGCCAACTTGAATAAAATATTTGGGGGGGGGTCAGGTAAGCCCCGCCCTACACAATCAATCACATGATGTGGCACGCACATGTCATTTGAATTAGAATGCCCATCAACTTTGTGGGATATCAGCCCCCTCAAATATTTTACTGTGGAGGTCAAGGCCCCTAGGAGTTGGCTCCTGTGCACGAGAAACTGTTTGCATTTCCTGCAGTTCATTTTTGCACTAGCTCATCCGCACCTACACTGAAGCTGTTGTGCCGGACCCTGCACAGTCATTTTGTGTCGTGTTGTGCCCCCACCACAGTCATTTCAGAACTGGCACCTGCAGCATTTCCTCAGAATTCCAGTTGCGTCCACTTCTCCCCACCCCACCCCCAAAAAGCTTGGAGATCCCTGTTACGCAGAGACCAGAACTTGGAGTACCTTGTTGAATTTCTTCCCCTCCAAACACACACACAACCCTGGCCAGAGGGCAATTCAGCCTCAGCTCCACACAGCTACAAATCGGGTGCTCATATAACACCTCCCACATGTGGAGCCACACAATCTTGACCAGCCAAACTGACTCCATAATAATTGTCTGGAGCAAATAGCATTGGGTCTCCTCCTGGAGAAAGGTCCAAACTGCAGGAGAAGATTGAGCCTCCTGAGCTGCAGTAAACCCGCAAAGAAGAAGAAGAAGAGATAAAACATCAAACATAAAAAACTTCCCTAAACAGGGCTGCCTTCAGATGTCTTCTAAAAGTCAGATAGTTGTTTATTTCCTTGAAATCTGATGGGAGGGCGTTCCACAGGGCAGGTGCCACTACCAAGAAGGCCCTCTCCCTGGTTCCTTGTAACCTCACTTCTCGCAGTGAGGGAACTACCAGAAGGCCCTCAGAGCTGGACCTCAGTGCCCAGGCTGAATGATGGTGGTGGAGACACTCCTTCAGGTATACAGGGCTGAGGCCATTTAGGGCTTTAAAGGTCAACACCAACACTTTGAATTGTGCTTGGAAATGCCAATGTAGGTCTTTCAGGACCTGTGTTATATGGTCTCGGCGGCTGCTCCCAGTCACCAGTATAGCTGCCACATTCTGGATTAGTTGTAGTTTCCAGGTCACCTTCAAAGGTAGCCCCATGTAGAGCACATTGCAGTAGTCCAAGAGGGAGATAACCAGAGCATGCAGCACTCTGGTGAGACAGTCTGCGGGCAGGTAGGGTCTCAGCCTGCGTACCAGATGGAACTGGTAGACATCTGCCCTGGACACAGAATTGACCTGTGTCTCCATGGAAAGCTGCGAGTCCAAAATGACTCCCAGACTGCACACCTGGTCCTTCAGGGGCACAGTTACCCCATTCAGGACCAGGGAGTCCTCCACACCTGCCCGCCTCCTGTCCCCCATAAACGGTACTTCTGTCTTGTCAGGATTCAACCTCAATCTGTTAGCCACCATCCATCCTCCAACAGCCTCCAGACACTCACATCAGGCAAACCTGCTTCCCCTTTGCTCTAGGCCTAGATGCAGTCCTCTCTATAGAGAATTTCTCCTGCTTAAGACTACACTGAGGTCTGGGCGCCTCTATCCTCCTCCCCAATTTGGGAGAAAGAAAGGTAAAGAACTCGCCTCTCCATCCCGGGTCTCAATGGTTTTGATCAGCACTGTCTTCCTAGAGTGGCTCTCCACCGTTGGCTCTGGCTCTGAAACTACAAGGGAGGGGGGCATTCAGAAGAGAGGGCATGGCAGTTTCAATACAATATGCATCTCCCCCTACACCACCAGCATCCCCCCCAAAAAAAATTACTCCAGGCCAAGCTGGGTGAAATCAGAAGGTGTTGGAAGGAGGAAGGAGGAAGGAGGGAGGTGTGATTTATTCCTGCCAGTTCCCAAGGAAAAACAGCAATAAAAGCTAAGCTCAGGTGTCGACTGTGGTGGGTGAGGAAGATGATGTTAGAATTCCTGCTCCATGATTGCAGTCATGGGATTTTTGTCTATCACATGACAGTATATGTTTTGACTCCACACAGTGGAAAGTGACGGAGACGGGATGTTTGTGTTACTGTGTTCCGGGAAGTGGGATTATTGTCCTTTGTTCTTTTCCTCTTTGCTGTCTGATGCTAGACTAGAGAGAGAGGGAGCCATGTTGCTGTGCTCCGTGTGTTTATATGTAAATAAAGTAGATTAGCCAAAATGCTGAGTTGCTGAGGTCTGTTACACATGATGCACAAACTCTGCAGATCCCTAAGTGTGCCAGTGTCAGTTGGGATCAGTCGCTGTGATGTTCAGGCTGAAGAAAGCTTTTGAAGCTCCCAAACGATTGACCAGGAGGGAGAGAACATGCCAGTTGGGCATGTGTCTCTGCCAGAGTCCTACTCGAGTGTAGGCAGAGCTCCTGACAGATCCTCCAGGGTAGATTCTTGCAATCAGTTGGTGTGCTCCCAGAAATGTCAACCATAAATCCATCTTTGGGTGAGGTGGAGCTCAACAGTGGGAAAGGGGTGTAAGTCAGAGCCATGAACATGGTCTCTTCCAAAAGTCTGTGTTCGTGTGCAGCAGTGTGCATAAGCACACATGATGCATTTTTTATGCATCCAAAATATGGAGCTTACCTGTCGTTTTGAAGCCGAAGGAGGCCATGGACTGAACCGGCACTGCAATCCTGCAGGGAACAAGCCACAGTGAGCTCTATAATGAAGTCCCCCAGGAAGGACATGGCTGGTTCAGAGAGATGCTGAAAACGCTTCTTGGAAACGTTAAGATAAATTCAACAGTGTAAACGAGTCTCATTGGATGTAATACTGTGGTACCTTGGTTCTTGAACATAATCTGTTCTGGAAGCCCGTTCGACTCCCGAAACATTCAAAAGCAAAGGCGCAGCTTCCGAATGGTGAAGGCGCCCCGGAAACAATAGCCGACAGTCACATCGGACGTTCATCTTCCGAAAAACGTTCGAAAACTGGAACACTTACTTCCAGGTTGTCGGCCTCTGCGGAGCCGATTTGTTCATCAACTAAGCCGTTCAAGAACCAAGGTTCCACCGTAATGGAATACTGAATGGTTTAGTTTATGTAAAATATGCAGGGATTTATGATATGCAAAATGAGCCATGGAAAGAGAAAAAGGTAAGCCCCTGATATTTCAAGGTTGTTTAAATGAATATTCTAAATCAGGCTTCCTCAACCTCAGCCCTCCAGATGTTTTGAGACTACAATTCCCATCATCCCTGACCACTGGTCCTGCTAGCTAGGGATCATGGGAGTTGTAGGCCAAAAACATCTGGAGGGCCCAGGTTGAGGAAGCCTGCTCTAAAGTGTAAAACAGAAAATTCAATGAATAAATAAAACGTCTCTCTGGGGCATAATGTGTGGTGCCTTCTTCCTGATCAGGAATTGATGTTTGTACCAGCTTTGTTTCTGGAGAAATCCTTGGCATGTGTGGAAGTTTGTGCACTATTAAATGATATCCTGCGGTGTGGAAACTAACGGGTGGACAACAAAAAGGGATTCTGCAAACACTTATGGCGGCAGAGAGGCTTATACTGCAAGGCTGGAAGGACAAATACCCACCCACTCCTGCAATCTACTACTACTCAGTGGCCTGGAGATCTCACTGCCCTTTCTACATTTAAAACGCATGGCTTAAAATACAGACGTCTCCCCACTTGCGCAAGCGGGGAATTCCCCTGTTCGCCTCTGTCCCGCCCCATTCCACCCCTGTTCCACCCCATTGGGGCATCAAAAATGGTGCACATCTCGAGATGGCAAAACTGACTGGAAAACTCAGAAATCAAGAGGACAATAACTTTATAAAAGAATGGGGGAAACATATAAGTTATTTAAGAGACCACTGCATGCAGATGGAAACATTGGCAGGATTTTGATCGCACTTGTAGTGTCATGATTACCATGGACAAAGCCACTTCCGAACTAGAGAGGAGGTGGGGTTGTGGGCTTCACGCCCCTCCCCACGCGCGCAGGGGCTGGCTACTAGGGGAATCCTCGGTCGCGTAATCTCCTTGGCCAGCCAATTGGCTGGTCTGGGAGGCGTGGCCCGTCCTATTTAGGGCCGGGGCGGCCGAGGATTTCCCTCTTTCCGCGCTCTAGCTGCTCAGGTTTTCCCACCCTCCCACCCGTTAGGTTTGGATCTCTGACATTGCTATGGACTTTGGTTGGTCGCCGTCAAGGGGCCTGGTAGGAATTTTTTCCACTTGGCAAATTGGCACCAGCCATTTGGTCTTTCGCCTACCTCGTAGCAAATCGTCACAACTTCCTTGGCATTGGCGGTTAGGCATTGGTAGGGGTATTGTTATGCAGATGAAAGGGGGGAAGGAAGCACCATCACCTTCCCCCAAATCGAAGGGTAGTCCAGTAAAGGATTCCTGGGGGGTTTGCCCTGTCCTAAGCCTATGGAGGTGTGGGCCTAAGGCACGCCCCTGAGCGGTGACCCCGGGGGAGCTCCTAGTTGATGTGCATCAGCAGGGCTCCCCCTACTAGCGGTTAACCCTTCAAGCTAGGAGGCTAAAGCTGGTTAGTCGATAGGACCAATGCCTAAGCCAATACCCGCTCAATTCCTGTAATCAATAAAGTTGTGGCCTATTTTGCCCATTAACCTTAAACTCCGGTGTCTTGTGTCTTTATTTCTGAGGGGGGGGGGGAACTCGCCACACAATATGGTTTGATATTAAAAAAAAATTGGAGTATGGAAAAATATGAAGTAATAAATGTTTAAAATGGGACTCCATGGAGGGGGAGGGAGTCCTGAGATTCGGAGGAATCGCCACATATGGATATGTTTTTTTTATTCTTGGCGTATAACTTTGTACTTGTAAAACCAAATAAAAATGGTATCAAAAAAGAAGAAGAAAGAAAACGGTGCGCATCTCAGTGGGAAGGAACATGTGAGATGATTGGGGAGTTGCCCTCATATGGTATGCTTATTTAAATCTTGGCATTTGAATTAGAAATCATGTGATGTTCCTGTTGTTAATGACAGCTGGCGGTGTTTTCCTCTCTCTCATCTCTTTCCTTCTGTCATATTTACAAAAATAAACCTTGAGAAACCAAAACCAATGAGCTCCTTTAAAATCGCTCTCCTCCTCTGATCCTGCAAAGGCAGAGATGGACCCACCATGAGATGGGCTGAACCATGCAAAGAGCTATAGGGGAGTCCTCACCTGCTCTCCTCCCCCTCCAGAAGCTTGCGGTAGGTGGCAATCTCGATGTCGAGGGCCATCTTGACGTTCAGGAGGTCCTGGTACTCCCGCAAGTGCCGTGCCATCTCTTCCTTCATGTGCTGAATCTCCTGCTCTAGCCGGGCCACCGTGTCCTGGTACGAGCCCATCTCCACCCCGTATTGGTCCTCCAGGTCTCGCATCTGCCTCAGCAAAGCTTCGTTCTGGGGAGGAAAACACAAGCGGGGCTTACATGGGGGATGCAGGGAAGCAGGTCTCAGAGACACCTTACCCAGAAGCCACACCCACTCCCAAATCCTGCTCCTAACTCTCAACCGAGTGAGAACAGGCAAGGCTGTGGACTCGGAGCTTCCCAGGCCTTGGAAACAGGGCACAAGGCTGGCAAGGGCTGAAAATAGTTGTCCTCTTTTTTCCCAGCTGCAAAAATGGACACAGTCACAGAATCTGGAGCATAGGCATCCCACTATTATTATTATTATTATTATTATTATTATTATTATTTACAGTCGCACCTTGGTTTTCAAACAGCTTAGTTCACGAACAACTCAGAACTCGAATGTCACAACTCCGGAAGTAGGTGTTCCAGTTTGAGAACTTTGCCTCAGAAGCTGAATGTCCGACGCGGCTTCCAAAGCTTCTGATTGGCTGCAGGACGCTCCTGCAGCCAATTGGAAACCACGCCTTGGTTTCAGAACATTTCAGAAGTTGAACGGACTTCCGGACAGCATTCTGTTCAAAAACCAAGGTACAACTGTATTGTGTTTATTTACCGCCCTATACCCACAGGTCTCAGGGTAGTTCACAGAAAAATCTCAACATATATAATCAGAATACAGTGGTACCTCGGGTTAAGTACTTAATTCATTCCGGAGGTCCATTCTTAACCTGAAACTGTTCTTAACCTGAAGCACCACTTTAGCTCATGGGGCCTCCTGCTGCTGCTGTGCCACAGGAACACGATTTCTGTTCTCATCCTGAAGCAAAGTTCTTAACCCGAGGTACTATTTCTGGGTTAGCGGAGTCTGTAACCTGAAGCGTCTGTAACCTGAAGCGTATGTAACCCGAGGTACCACTGTAAAAACAACAACCCAATAACACATACACACAAACCCCAGAAAAGAACCACATTTTAAAAGGGTATAGGATGTATACAATCACACTGCAAAATGTGGCACTGGGCAGAAGTCAGAAGTTCCAATGACCTCTGTGCTCAATTACACAGCATATATCCTTTTTCAACCTTTATGGCTTTGAAGCTAAACTTGAAAATATATGATGCGAACGATATCCAGTGAAATCCCTTGTGAACTCGCAAAGGCCAGAAGAGGACACCAGTGGCATCATTCGCTCAGGTTGCAGCCTTGAACCCTCATCCAAGAATACAAAACATTTCGCAAAGATGGGAGGCTGCTCAGCTGCTGCCTCCCAAGGAACAGGTAAAGGGGGCTGAGGACAGGAAGGACGTCCTACTGACCGTTCCTTTGAGTCCATCCACTTCACAGGTGAGGCTCTGGATCTGGCGCCGGGATTCGTTCATCTCCTGCTTGGCCTGGCGAAGCGCTTCGTGGTTCCGGTTGGCTGCGTCCGACAGGTCAGCAAACTGCAAGCGGTTGGGGGAGTCAGTGGAGAGAAGGGAAAGACCTGCCCCAAAGACCATCTCCTAGTCTATCTCCTACTCTATCAGGGGGTCTGGAAACCAAGCCATATGAGGAGCGGTTGAAGGAGATGGATATCTTTAGTCTGGAAAAGAGGAGACTGAGAGGAGATAGGATAGGCATCTTCAAATATCTGAAGGGCTGTCACATGGGAGAGGAAACAAGTTTGTTGTCTCTTGCTCTGGAGGGCAGGATTCCAACCAATGACTTCAAGTTACAGTCAAACCTCGGTTTTCGAACGTCTCGGCTGCCGAACATTTCAGAAGCCAAACGCCGAAAACCCGGAATGCTTCCATTTTTGAACATGCCTCAGAAGTCAAACAGCTTCCGAGGCATGTTTCTCAATTTTCCTCACTGAACTTGCTGATAAACCCTTTGATCCTTGGTTTTTGAACGTTTCAGAAGTCAAACAGACTTCCGGAACGGATTGCATTCGAAAACCGAGGTTCCACTGTACAAGAAAGTAGATTCCAACTAAACTTAATGGAAAACTTTCTGACAGTAAGAGCAATTCGACAAAGGAACGGTCTCCCTCAGGAAGTTGTGGACTCTCCTTCCTTGGAGGTTTCTAAGCAGAGGTTGGGTGGCCACCTGTCATGGATGCTTTAGCTGATATTCCTGCATTGCAGAGGGTTGGCCATGCTGACCCTTGGGGTCCCTTCCAACCAGTTCTATAATTCCTAGCAACAACGAACTGTTTGTGTGTGTGTTTTGAAATGGCACTGTAGTCATAGCCGGCCATCCCAGACTGTACTCCAAGGAAAGGGGAGCCTATGGAGTCTCCAGATGTCAATGGACTCTAGCTCCCACCCTTCCCAGTCAGGATAGGCTCTCCATCAATATGTAGCCCACCCTCCCGCCTGTCAAGGCTTCAGGGAATCCTATCCCTCCCACTGTGGGATGCCAAGAAGCAGAAAAACAATGAGTTCTTACAGAGTACTTTATTCAATATTCACAGAGAGAAACAAAGGAATGCAGGAATGTGTCCAGGGCAGCTGTTTACCAGCTCCATCTGGTACGCAGGCTGAGACCCTACCTGCTCATAGACGGTCTTGCCAGAGTGGTGCATGCTCTGGTTATCTCTCGCTTGGACTATTGTAATGTGCTCTATGTGGGGCTACCTTTGAAGGTGACCCGGAAACTACAGCTAATCCAGAATGCGGCAGCTAGACTGGTGACTGGGAGAGGCCGCCGAGACCACATAACACCGGTCTTGAAAGACCTACATTGGCTCCCAGTACGTTTCCGAGCACAATTCAAAGTGTTGGTGCTGACCACTAAAGCCCTAAATGGCCTCGGCCCCGCATACCCAAAGGAGTGTCTCCACCTCCATCATTCTGCCCGGACAATGAGGTCCAGCGCCGAGGGCCTTCTGGCGGTTCCCTCACTGCGAGAAGCCAAGTTACAGGGAACCAGGCAGAGGGCCTTCTTGGTAGTGGTGCCCTCCCTGTGGAATGCCCTCCCACTAGATGTCAAAGAGAACAACTACTACCAGACTTTTAGAAGACATCTGAAGGCAGCCCTGTTTAGGGAAGCTTTTAATGTTTGATGTATTACGCTATTTTAATATTTTTTGGGAATCCACCCAGAGTGGCTGGGGAAGCCCAGCCAGATGGGTGGGGTATAAATTTATTATTATTATTATTATTATTATTATTATTATTATTATTATCTCTTAGATAATGGTGCTGCTCCAAGTAAAGTCCCACCCCCTCAGTCCCTCCTATTCTACGTCACCCCTGCGCTGGCTGATCTGTGCTTTCTGCCTCTGAGCTTTTTGTTCTCCTACTCTCATGGCACACCTGGTCCTGGGAGAGGGGAGTCAGGAATGCTATCAAGAAATGCTGAGTCTGTTAACTGCCTCTCCCCCGGTGCTTCTCCTTCCTGCCACTCCCCCAATATTTCCCAGCTTCTCCCCTCTGCAGCCTCTGAACTATGCCCTTCTGCAAACCGCAGTTCTAAATCTATACTGTCCTCCTCTTCCTGGGAAGGTAAAGGGGGGGCAGCTCCTCAGCATTCCTCCCCAGTCCAGCCCCTGACACCACCCCTTGTAACTGCACCCAGTTTAGGTACCTTGGATTTGTACCACTCCTCGGCCTCCTGCAGGTTCTTGACCGCGATGCTCTCATACTGGGTGCGGATGTCCCGCAAGGCGGCTGTCAGGTCCGGCTTGGCCTGTTCCACCTCCACTTGCACCTGCTGCTGGCTGTGCATGCTCACCTGCATGTCGTTCAGCTCCTGCATGCGCCGAGACATCGATGGGGAAAAAGCAAGATGCAAAGGAACACAGACACGACAAATCACACACAGAGAGATTGTAAGAGGAGATACTACAAAGAGAGAGCACAAATGCAGAGGAGCACAGCCACAAGGAGATGAAGACCCATTATACGTAGCCTCCCTAATGTGAGACTACGTGGCAGAGAAAGTATGCTTCTCGGTTTTTGTCTCATTTATATACCACTTTTGGGCCCCCAAACCGGTGAATAGCATTAATACATGTCATGAAAGAAATATAAAGCGGAAATACGATACGTACGCTAGATTGAGGAAAACAATATTTTTAAAATAGCACAGAAATTTGGTCAAGAATAGCAGTTAGGCAACAGGATCTGGCTATTAATCTATAGGTGTGGCACATCAGAGGCGGGAGAAATCTGCCATTCGATTTTGCTTCTTTTCTTTTCTTTTTTGCATAAGGAAAGGACTAATCAGAACTACCTTGTTTTCTTCTTACACTGCCTGTAAGATGTTAGGCAGTCCTAAGCTTTCCCCCAAATCATTGGGGGAGTTCAGGGATAAGAGGGGATGCTGAGAATGGCTGGAGAAAAGCAACAATTTATTCTCTGTGTCTCTGTCTCTCTCTCTCTCTCTCTCTCTCTCTCTCTCTCTCTCTCTGTGTGTGTGTGTGTGTCTGTCTGTCTGTCTCTCTCTCTCTCTGTGTGTGTGTGTGTGTGTGTGTGTGTGTGTGTGTGTGTCTTCTTTCTCTCTGTCTCACTGAGGATTACCAAACTTTGGCACTGTTTTATTCCATCTGCTGGAATAGCTTCATGTGCGTTTGCATGAAGATTTGGGGAGAAAGCGTGCTTGTATGTGGCAGAATACTGGAGGAAAAAACTGATGAGGAGGTCACTTACTGGCATAGAGGAAATGTGTGGACTGACTTGATTCAAACAGGAATTTATTTGGGCAATGAGCCTATGGAAAACTGATTTGGGGTAATGTTCCTGCTATAAGATATATGTAATGGTATTCTTATGTTATGGTATTCTTAGGTGGCACAAAATCTGTGCGTGGAATAAAATACTTTGAGATTGGTGAATACGCTATGTGGGTGGGGCATCAGTCTTGTCTTTGTTTTTCTTCCACTTTTTATTTTATTGGCTTGTTAACAAAAAAAAAGTGAAAACATAACAAAAAGAAAGAAAACAAAAGAATCCAAAATTTAAAGCATAAAGTATCATAGCCTTGAATGACAGGTGGACACATTAGTACAAAATTCCCATATATGGCACAGTTACACATTCAAGAGTGGGGCCGTGGGTGCAACTGTGTCTCTCTTATTCACTGCTAGACAAAGAAGAAGAAGAAACAAGTGACTATCTGCTGCATGCAAAGGGTTTCTCAGCTGCATCAGTCCTGCAAATCTACATTCATAACCCTGGATACAAGCTATCCTGCTCACGCAAGGGTGCTGGATACAAGCTATCCTGCTCATGCAAGGGTGGGGCTGGGGATGCAACTGCACTTCTGCTGTTTACCACCAGATGGAGCACAAGCAAAATGACTTCTGCAAGACCCTCAGGACATCAGAAATATTAAAAAGGTAAAGGGACCCCTGACCATTAGGTCCAGTCGTGGCCGACTCTGGGTTGTGGCGCTCATCTTGCTTTATTGGCCGAGGGAGCCAGCGTACAGCTTCCGGGTCATGTGGCCAGCATGACTAACCTGCTTCTGGTGAACCAGAGCAGCGCACGGAAACGCCATTTACCTTCCCACTGGAGTGGTACCTATTTATCTACTTGCACTTTTGACGTGCTTTCGAACTGCTAGGTTGGCAGGAGCAAGGACCGAGCAACGGGAGCTCACCCCATCGCAGGGATTCGAACCGCTGACCTTCTGATCAGCAAGCCCTAGGCTCTGTGGTTTAACCCACAGCGCCACCCGTGTCCCTTTTTATCAGAAATGTTAAAGGACTCTAAATGGGATCCCCATGAAGCCCATGCGCAAAATCTTCCCCTACCCCATGCCCACTTCTGCTGCTTCTCCTGCAGCCCCTTGCCTGTCTCCCAAGGCTGCCACCATCCTCAGGAGCAAGCCATGAGTTTGGGATAAAACGTAATTCCTGTTGCGAGGCATGTACAGATAAGGTTTGAGCCCAGTCTTCTGCCCTCAGGGGAAGCAGCAGCTGCTGCCGTCAGTACAAATGGCACACCTGTCCAGTTGTATATATAGGGTTCAGCTGCTCTCTCAAAAGCCTCTATGTAAGCCAGTCACAGAACTAGTTGTAGTAAGGTTGAAGCTTACTGGGAAATGATATATAATGAATTGAAAAGGATGTTTAAATTAACATTTGTAAAAAAAACCAAAAAACCCAGAAGCTTTTCTCTTAGGAATTATAGGGACAGAACTACCTAAATTGTATAGAAATTTATTTATGTATGGGACTACAGCGGCAAGAATGTTACTTGCCCAAAAGTGCAAAGAAGCAGAAGTCCCAGCAAAGGAAGAATGGATACAAAAACCTATGGAATATGCAGAAATGGCAAAATTCACCAGAAGAATAAGAAATCAAGATAACAAACTTTTCATAATAGAATGGAAATGGTTTATTGAATATTTACAGATAAATTGTAAACAGATAAAAATATTAGCGGGATTAATGTCATAACCTGCAGTTTTATAAGAGTATTTATTATAGTAGATAAAGAAACGAGTAAGTTAAATGAAGTTGGAGATGCAGAAGATAGGAAAAAAATGAATTCAAGGAATCGCAGAAAGAGGGGAAGTCAAATTTTGAAATGTCAAATTGATCGGAAAACTGTTGAAATGTATAAATTTGAAAATACAAATAAAAAACTAAAAAGAGAGAAAGGGAAGTTTCAAATCTGCCCTCCACTCAAAGGCCACCCCCGTTATTTCCCCTACCTCTTCATGTAGTTTCTTGAGGAATTCAATTTCATCCATGAGGGATTCAATCTTGCGCTCCAGCTCCAGGCGCGAGAGGGTGGCATCGTCCACATCCTACCATGTCAGGGAGGAGAAACGAGCCATGATCAGAACCGCAGCAAACCCCTTTCTATTTTAACATGAAATATATATGGGTCAGAGAAGGATCGGGAAAAGCAAACAAGGTAATCCCAGCCTCATCCACCAGGCTGCGATGGTGAGCTGAGGGGGAGAGAACAGGGTGCCTCAGTTCAGCACCATGGACAGCAGCCACAGCTGCCCAGAGCTGCTTTCAAGAACTTGGCTTGAGCCTTTACTGTTCAGTAGGACCCTCCACCCATGTACGACTGCAGGAGCTAATATGTGCAGCAGTTTGCAAACAGCAGAGTGTGCTGGAACCCTGCAGTTACTCAAGGGTAAGTGGGCCAGCCTGCCCCGCCTAGAGCCCCACTTACCTTGCGGAACAAAACCAGGTTCCCTTCAGCATCTTCGCGCTTGTGCATCTCCTCATCCAGCCTGTAGAGGACAAAGAACAGCCAAGAGCTAATAATAGGGCTAACTCCATAGTTTGTCATCTTCCCCCGGGTGACACACTCCCCACTTTGGTCACACAACTCCCGGCATCCTTTTCCTTATTCCATAAGCAGTCTATTTTTTATTCCTCCCTACACTCTGGACAGCATCTTAAAAAGCAGAGACATCACCTTGCCAACAAAGGTCCGTATAGTTAAAGCTATGGTTTTCCCTGTAGTGATGTATGGAAGTGAGAGCTGGACCATAAAGAAGGCTGATCGCTGAAGAATGGATGCTTTTGAATTATGGTGCTGGAGGAGACTCTTGAGAGTCCCATGGACTGCAAGAAGATCAAACGTATCCATTCTTAAGGAAATCATCCCTGAGTGCTCACTGGAAGGACAGATCCTGAAGCTGAGGCTCCAATACTTTGGCCACCTCATGAGAAGAGAAGACTCCCTGGAAAAGACCCTGATGTTGGGAAAGATGGAGGGCACAAGAGAAGGGGACGACAGAGGATGAGATGGTTGGACAGTGTTCTCGAAGCTACCAGCATGTGTTTGACCAAACTGCGGGAGGCAGTGGAAGACAGGAGTGCCTGGCATGCTCTGGTCCATGGGGTCACGAAGAGTCGGACACGACTAAATGACTAAACAACAACAACAACACGCTCTGGACTCCGCTTTTATGGGCCAAGCAGGATGCAAGAACCAGTCAAATGAGCTGCACCCAGGAGTTCCTGCTTCTACCCCCCCCTTGCTGCCATCCGCCACACCCCTACATTGCAAGAACACAACGCCAAACAGACTTCTCCAGCCCCCTGACATCGGTCAACCCTGCACTGGTAATACCCACAGGGCTTACCTAAAGCAAATAGCCAGTGCAGGGGAAGTAGGGAAAAGTCACTGAGAAGTATCAGGAATAGGGAACATTCGGTTAGAGGTGGATATGGAGATCAAGTGAAATTGAGACCGTTCCAGAAATGCTTTGCATTGGCATCTGAAGCTTTTGGCCATTCCACATTTATTCAAGTTGCATTCTCCATTCTCCTCTTGGGAAGGGATGGTTTTTCAAGACACAGACGGATGCTGTCATTTGGCCACACCCTTCCCCAGTGATGTATTCTCCACCAACGCCACCATCTCCCATAGTCCCTGAGCTGACGCAGAAGACAGATGGCACTATTAGGGCAGGGAGACTGGAGAACATGGCAAAACCCACGTCACTCTGCATGGCTGAAGGGGACCACGCCCCACCTCTCTCCCAGGCTTCAGCTCCTTGTGCACGCCTTATCCACCCCCTTCTCTTCTTCCCAAATAGCCCAGCCCCACCCTGCCCCATCTGCCACAGCGTGAGCAATGCCAGGATGCAGAAATTCAAACCCCACCCCACAGCGCCATGGGGAATGCAGTCTCGAGGCTGTGGCTTTGCTTGCTTTTGCTTTTCAGCACAGCAATGATGTGCGCATGGAAGCTGCAGTGCCCTGCGAGGAACCCCTCTCGCGTGTGCAGCGTGGGACTCCATGCGCACCACATGCCCCTTTAAGGGAGGCTGCCGCTACCCCACCCAAAGTGCTACCCACCTCACCAATTCTTGACAGCTCACAGGATTCCCCCTGCCCTCACCGTAACTGCCCCCTGGAATAGAGAAGCTCTCTGGCTAAGGGCGTTATTGCTGTGCAGAAGGCTCCCTCGCCACACCCCACTGCTCTCCCTCTACCAAGTACCAGAAAATAGCCATCTCCTTGCACCCTGCCCCATTCAACATTCTCAGGATGACACAAAGGGCAGAAAGTTCATCTCCTCCCTGCTTGCCCACTCTCCACCATCGCCTATCCTGTTTTCAGGTACCATATTACCCACGGTCCCAACAGAATATTACATAACACGATAAAACATCAAACTTATTAAAAACTTCCCTAAACAGGCCCTGCCTTCAGGTGTCTGTCTAAAAGTCAGATAGTTGTTTATTTTCCTTGATATCTGATGGGAGGGTGTTCCACAGGGCGGGTGCCACTACCGAGAAGGCCCTCTGCCTGGTTCCCTATAACCTCGATTCTCACAGGGAGGGAACTGCCAGAAGGCCCTCAGAGCTAGACCTCGGTGTCTGGGCTAAACGATGGGGGTGGAGACACTCCTTCAGGTATACTGGGACGAGATCAGCACCAATTGTGCTCTGAAACATACTGGAGCCAATGTAGGTCTTTCAGGACTGGTATTATATGGTCTCAACGGCCACTCCCAGTCACCAGTCTAGCTGCCGCATCCTCCTGCCATGTTGGACTCATCCCATTAGTGGAGAATTATTCCCCACCACACCCTTCCCACCCCACTGACACATCTCAAGGACCAGTCTTACTTATTTGCTGTGTGTATCAACCTTCCTAGAATCCCTACATTGCCCAAGACATCTTTTTATTGTGGCTGTTTGTTTGCTTTTTAATCTATCCCTCCGCACAGTTCTGGATGGAACAGTTTGCAATCAACCATCTTTCCACAATCTCCATCGGGAGGCGGAACCAAAATGAAGAGATTCTAACAAACCTTTCCACTGTGCAGAATTCCTGGCTTGCAACTCTTCCTTCTGCAAGTCATCAAAGTTCAAATTCAATGCCTCCAAGTCCCAGACCTACACCGTCAGTGCAGCAAAATCCTAACACACTTACTCAAAAGCAAGTCCCAGGATGTCCAGTTCCCAGTGTGCATAGGATTCCATGCACAAGCCTAAACATGTATTTTCAGAAGGAAGTCCTATTGAATTCAGCAGGGCTTACTTCCAGGCAAGTGGGGTTATGATTGCGTCCTTAATTGTTGTCTTCTCACAGACTCTTGTGCAGCACCGGGTATACAGCCCAGGAACACTGGATCCCAGGTTTACCGGGGTGCAACTTTAATCCCTCTTTTAGGATTAAGAATAAACTCCCAGCACAATCCATCACATACCCCCATCACTGCCTAAGGCTAATAAAATAACATAAGATAAGCTGCTCTGATTGCAGGGCAGTGATTCATCATTTGTAATGCATGCAGCTGGAATATAATGAGTGGATTAGAGAAAGAATTGTATAGATTTAGTTGGTTCCCATTTGTTTATCAATTATATTAGGAACCTAGGAAGCCGACCATTGGTCCATCTAGTGCAGTATTGCCTGCAACAACAGGAAGAGACCCTCCAGGGTCTCAGACCAGGGTCTCCCTTGGTCCTACCTGGAGATGCAGGAGAATGAACCTGGGACCTTCTGCATTCAAAGCAACTGCTCTGCAGCTGATGCACAGACCTTCCCCACAAGGTGTTATATAATGCCGTTTCCCATTTTTGCTGCTTTGCTTTTGAGCTGGAAACTAAGGAAGAAATGACTGGATCCCAGAAAGGCCCACTGCTACACAGTCATGCCACCCCTCAGGACTTTGGGGTGCAGAAGGACACTTACAGAATGAGCAGGAGAGTCCCCCAAATGCAACAGGGCTGTCATGCCGCATTTTGAAGCAAATTAAGTGTAATACGTATTCCCACCCAAAGAGCCCCCTATGCCTGGGCAGTTAAGTGCACAGTCTAAAACCATCACTTTCGGAACCTTCCTTCCTTAACCCACATATCCACTAGGCTGCATCTGCTGCGTTGGAGGCAAAACAGGGAGGCTATTATTTCAGGCCGAGTCCCTAACTCTGCCCTTTTTGCAAGAGGAATTGTGCCTCTCTGGCGCTGCCACCAATTAAATGTCTTGCTATCTTCGGAGGGAGAAGTGCCATCAGAGTGCGACCCTACCTCGGAAACCCTCTTCCCTATTCCCAAGCAGAGAGAGTTCGCAGAGATTTCTGAATATTCAGGGAGTGGGAAAAGGGACTCTGCACGAGCTCAGAGGCAACCATCTTCATCTGCTCCAAATGATGTGTTTGGGGGCGGGACTGACTTCATCTTCATCTACCCAGAAGGATCCCTTTGAGGGGGGGCTGACTCCAACTGAGCTCTGGCTTGTCTTTCGCTTCATCTTTCTCAGGACCCTACCACCACCTAAAGGAGAACCCATGAATCCGGGGGGCGCCTGCCGCGATTAACCCCTCCCGCCCCGCCACAGCCACTTAAAACAGCACACAAGGCTGAAGTTCCGTTTTCCGCACAGGATGTGGCCCGGCTTGCCCCTTCCATCTTCCGAGGAGGACCCAGGCGTCCCGGCACGCCCCCGCCCCCACCCCGGAGCCTCACCTCTGCTTGAGGGCGGCCAGATCCTCGGCCATGTTGTCCCTCTCGACCTGCAGGCGGTCGCGATCCTTGCCCAGCGCGTCCACCTGCCTGCGCAGCTCGCGGAGCTCGTCTTGGAAGAGGTCGGCGGCGCGCGTGGGCTCCTTGGAGCGCGCGTGGCCCAGCTCGGCCAGCAGCGCCGCGTTCTGCGTCTCCAGGTAGCGCACTTTCTCGATGAAGCTGGCGAAGCGGTCGTTGAGCTCCTGCAGCTCCTGCTTCTCGTTGCTCCGCGTGGCCAGGAACTCCTGGTTCAGCGCCTCGGCTACCGAGAAGTCCAGCTTCTCGGCCGCCCCGTAGGAGTAGCGCGGAGCCGGCGCGCTAGAGGATCGGAAGGTAACCGCGCCACCGCCGCCACTGGCCCGGTAGGAGCGCATGGATGCCGCCGTCGAGGGCGTGCTCAGCAGCCGCGTGGTCGAAGAGGACGAGGCCAGGCGGGACGAGGAGTACGACAGCGGGGACAGCATGGGCGGCGGCCCGAAAGTGCGGCGGTACGAGGTGGCGCGGATGGCGCCGGAGTGGTGATGGTGGCTCATGGCGCAGCGGCTGTGCCCGGAGAGAGGTGCAGAAGGAGAAGAGGCGGCGTCGAGGCTGGGACGGAGCCGCGAAGTTCTCGACGGGGGAAGAAGGCGCCGCCTTCGGAGATGCCGCTTTATAGGCCCCCAAGTCGCGAACTGGAGGGGGGGAGGGCGGCAGCAGCAGGAGGAGGAGGCTCCTCCTCTCTTGGACGCGGCCCAGAGCCCCGCATTGCAGCCCTGTCGTCTGGGAAAGGGAACCACCCCGCCCAGGCTGCTCTGCAAAGATGCTCTGGCGGGCAGGAGGGGAGGGTGAGTGGGATCCCAGGCGCTCTGCTCGGTCCTCCATGTCATAGTGCCAACACCCTGGGGTGCCCGAGCACCCACAAAATTCCCCGTGAATGGGCCGGGACACCCACCAATTTCGGTGCCAGGGCCATGCGCGCTGCATGGCACCCACGGTCGCGGTGCCAAGCTGGCACGCCTGCTCCAGGTTGTTGGAGAGACAGAGCATCGCACTGCAGCCCCCCCCCCTTCCTATGCAGGTTTCTGTAGAAGTAAATCCCCTCGATTATCCCCAGCGGACCTGACACCCAGGGCCTTGCAGAGCCAGGCAAAGTGGCCCATGTGCCCCCCCCCGGTCTGGGCCTGCTGACACCGGACTGGGGCATCGGGGCCGGGCAAGAACGGAGAAGTATACCGTTCGCGGTTGGGGTCTCTCTCTACCCAGGGTGGGGGAAGTGCGTGCGTGGGGTGAGCTAGGGCATTGGGCAGTGGATCACCGATTCTCCCTCTAGATCTGTCAGCAAAAATGGAATGGGTTGGTTAAATATGTCAGGGCCGTGGTTCCCAATTAGTTAGATCCTGTTTTTCCAAAGCCAACCCGTGGACCCCGCTGCTTTTGAAATATTTTGATTCCTCTGTGGTGGTTTTTGTTCAGTGAATGGTGCCACAGTCCCCCGTGGGTGGGTCACGTGGACCCCTGGGGCCCGTGGACCACCAATGGGAAACCATTCTGTGTTAGGGGGTTCTGGAGAGGAAGCAAGGAGGCAGGCGAACTAAGTGAGATGGGGGAGCCACCATTGCGTGGCAGAAAAGAGGCATTAAAATTCAGCAGGGTAGTTTATTATTAGCAGCAGCCGAGCAGGAAGAGTTTTCTGTGGCTCCCTGAAACATAGGCTCATAGAATTGTAGAGTTGGAAGGGACCCCAGGGGTCATCTAGTCCAACCCCCTGCAAAGCAGGAATCTCAGCTAAAGCATCCATGACAGAAGGCCGGAGCGGGGTGACATTTTGGCAATACAGTGGTACCTCGGGATGCGAACAGGATCCATTCCAGAGCCCCGTTTGCATCCTGAAGCGAACGCAACCCGCGTCTGTGCATGCACAGGTCGTGTTTTGCCTCTTCTGTGCATGCGCATGATGTCATTTTGACCGTCTGCGCATGCGCGCATGACAAAACCTGGAAGTAACGTGCTCCATTACTTCCAGGTCACCGCGGAGCACAACCCGAAAATACTTAACTTGAAGCACATTTATCCCAAGGTATGACTGTATTCGGGGCACAGGTGGTGCTGTGGGTTAAACCACAGAGCCTAGGACTTGCCGATCAGAAGGTCGGAGGTTCGAATCCTCGCGACAGGGTGAGCTCCCGTTGCTCGGTCCCTGCTCCTGCCAACCTAGCAGTTTGAAAGCACGTCAAAGTGCAAGTAGATAAATAGGTACCGCTGCAGCGGGAAGGTAAGCGGCGTTTCCGTGCGCTGCTCTGGTTCGCCAGAAGCGGCTTAGTCATGCTGGCCACATGACCCGGAAGCTGTATGCCGGCTCCCTCGGCCAGTAAAGCAAGATGAGCGCCGCAACCCGAGTCGGCCATGACTGGACCTAATGGTCAGGGGTCCCTTTACCTTTACCTTTTATGACTGTATTCAGACCCAGTGAGCACTCAAGCCATTGCATCTTGCTCCATCTGCACTGATCCAACTGCACTGGCTGCCAATGAGTTTCCGGGCCCAATTCAAAGTGCTGGTTTTGACCTATGCAGCCTTAAATGGCTCAGGACCACAATACCTCAAGGACCGCCTCTTTCCATATGAATCTACCCAGACCCAGAGATCATCCCTCTTTTGTGTGCCTCCCCCATCGCTTGCTTAATAAGTCACTCTGTGTTTGCCAGCTTCCATCTGAGAAGCAGGAGAGAGAGAGAAACTGATCACAGCAGCAGCACTGTCAAGTACTTCAACTTGCATATCCAGCAAGCATGAAACTATGGGGATGCGCACGCGCGCGCGCACACACACACAAATGCAAGTCATGGGTGATGCAGCCAAGAGAGCTCACACCCACAAGCTGACTCACATAGGCCTGGTACCTCATCCAATTTACCAACCTTGCAGTCTGCATAGAAATCAGCTGTGGTTTCAGGGAGACGTCCATGCCAACAAACCATACGCCAAGAAACCTCTTTAAAATCTCATATGCATATCATATCGCAGTTGGTCTTATCATTCCTGACCACTGCTCCATGCACATATATATATTGGGGAGGCTAGATTTTTTGGAGCTGAAGAGCTGCATCAGAAAAACTTTGACAGAAGCCTTTTCTTTTTCCCCATGTATTTTTTTATTATTTTACATAGTTATGCACAATAACCATAACCATTCCAAAACATGAGAATAGAGAAGGTTCTTTCGAACCTTCAGACCTCCTTCCCTCCCTCCGTGGGTTCCATTTCAAAAAGTTTGATCTTTTTTCCTGAATCTTTTATGATTATATATTCATAGTAACCAAAGTTCATTTCACTTTACAAGTGTCATTCTATCCCTGCCAATGATTTCAACAGTCTACAGCGGCCTTTTAAATATATTACAAAATTATTCGTCTTTTAAGAATCTTTGGTCTTCCTGGTTTCTGATCTTTCCCGTCAATCTTGCCATTTCTGCCTATTCCATCAATTTGATCTGCCACTCTTCTCTGGTCAGTACTTCTTCATTCCATCTCTGGGCTAAAAGCATCCTTGCTGCCGTCATTGCATACATAAACAGTCTTTTATTTTCTTTTGGTAGTTCCTCACCTATTTTATACCTAACAAAAAAGCCCCTGGTTTTTTAATACAGTAAAAGTTTTCTTAAACATTTTCTTTAATTCATTATATATCATTTCCCAGAAAGCTTTTACCACCTCTTTACAGAAGCCCTTTCAGTGCTGCTGCTTCTCCCTGACCAATAATCCTTGAGGTCAATGGTTTTCTTCCACCCAAGAGACACACATATGCCCATGGCAAATGCTTCTTGCTGCTTCACCTCCCAAGGTTCCTTGACAGTTCAGTTTCCCCCTCCCAGCCAGTGTTTTCTCTCCAAGGCTTAACAGTGCAATCTGATGATTCATATGCTCTAATAAGTCTCACTGTCTCCAACTGCACTATACAGTTAAAAAGCAGTAACAGACCGTACCACTTTAAACAGTTATAACGGTAAAGGGACCCCTGACCATTAGGTCCAGTCGTGACCGACTCTGGGGTTGCGGCACTCATCTCACTTTATTGGCCGAGGGAGCCGGCGTACAGCTTCCGGGTCATGTGGCCAGCATAGCTAAGCGAACCAGAGCAGTGCATGGAAACGCCGTTTACCTTCCCGACAAAGCGGTACCTATTTATCTACTTGTATTTTGACGTGCTTTCGAACTGCTAGGTTGGCAGGAGCAGGGACCGAGCAATGCGAGCTCACCCCGTCGCAGGGATTCGAACCGCCGACCTTCTGATCGGCAAGACTGTGGTTTAACCCACAGTGCCACCCATAGCTTCCACCAAAGAATCCTGGGAACTGTAGTTTGTTTAGAGTTACTCCTGAGCAGTTGTGTATATTGGGGGGGGGGCTAGCTGCTAGAATTCCTGCTCCATGATTGCAGTCATGGGATTGTTGTCTATCACAGGACGGTATATGTTTTAACTCCACACAGTGGAAAGTGACAGAGATGGGATGTTTGTGTTACTGTGTTCCGTGAAGTAGGACTATTGTCCTTTGTTCTTTTCCTCTTTGCTGTCTGATGCTAGAGAGAGAGGGAGCCATGTTGCAGTGCTCCGTGTGTGTTTATATGTAAATAAAGTAGATTAGCCAAAATGCTGAGTTGCTGAGGTCTGTCACGCAAGGTGCGCAAATTCTGTGGATCCCTAAGTGTGCCGGTGTCTGTTGGCATCGGTCGCTGTGTTGTTTGGGCAGAAGAAAGCTTTTGAAGCTCCTGAACGATCGACCAGGAGGGAGGGAACATGCCAGTCGGGGATGTGTCTCTGCCAGGGTCCTACTCGAGTGTAGGCTGAATCCATCCACCCCAAAAGGTTTTTAGTGGCCCCTGGAGACTCCCTTCTCAAAAGTATGTGTGATAACAGTTCCAAAGCAAGGAATTAATAAATTAATAAAACGAGGATTAATAATCCAGTTGGTTAACATTACTGCTGAAGAACTGAGTACAGAAAAGGGGCACTTGTTGTTGTTTGCCATGCCCGGTTTGATATGCAGCCTCAGTAGGGTTGGCCATGGGTTTATGCTACCCTTGACCTCAAAAAGTTAGCCACTACTGTTGTATGGGATGACAACTTAAGAGCCCCTCCATACTGGTGTTTTTTGGGGGACTGGGGTCATTGGAGCCAACTCCTAAGGACTTAGGTCCCTTCGGCTCCCCCAAGGAAATATTTGAGGGGGCTGCCCCTGTCATTGAAATTCTACTCAATATTGATCCAGAGCAGATTCCAATGTATAGTTTGCAGAGTAAAACTTCAAACACGTTGCAGGATTCCCAAAAAACAGACCAGAGGCAATCATATTTCATCCAGCAGAGCTTTACTGCTACTGAAGGCAAATGAGCATAATGGTCACAAATCCAACACATTCAGGATTGGCACCGTCCATAAGAAGTCCAGTTGCAGCAGACTTAACTTAAACTTACAATAACTTATAATAAGGGTAAACCTTAACACTATATACAGAACAGCACACCAGAAGGAAGAGAGATAGAAAGGGAAAGGGAAACCCAGGCTCCTTTTAGCCTTACTTTTATAGTCAGCATGACATTGACAGAAGAGATAATATAACTAGTTTAAACTAGCTGTACTCCGCTTCTCTGAAGGAATAACCCAAACATCATGAACTGTCTTCTTGTTTCTTTCACACAGAGAAGCTTCCAGAACCCTCTTGAATTAAGTAGAATAGGAAAGATCTCTGCACATCAGATCAATACTTT